CAATAATGCTGAAGTAATCGATAACTCCAACAATTATGAGTGAAAATACCATTTTACCCCTAATGAAATTTTAGGGAATTTTCTTCACACTTGTTCAAGATAACTTTAACAAAATCCAACTAAGGGTATTAGGGCATAAGTAAAGCTACATACCTCGATGTGGGCATTACAAATACGAAAAAAGTTTTCCAATGTCAATACAATGCATCTATATAATTACAGATAGCAATCCTATACAAATGTCATTAAACCACAATTAGTAATAGTAATCCAATACTCATCTATACTTGTTATTAATGCACATCTTTGGAATGTCAATGCAATGCACTTGTATTATTATTATTATTATTAATTATTAATATAGATCCCATTTTTTAATTAATTAATAATTATAGATGGAGCAATAAATTCCAATCCAAAGTGTCAAGATAGAGCAATTTGATTGGCCAATCAATCCAATGTGTCAAAATAGAGCAATTCTAGAGCTTCCAAAATGTGTCACATGGCGAACAACCCGCATAGGTATTCAACTTTATATATATTGTATGGAATCTATTGCCTAACCATTGTCCATAATTATGATTGTTCAAAGCCTGTTGTAATCGATAACTTCACTGTCAAACCATCAATTTGGCTATAGAATGGTAATAGGGCAAATACCGATTGTGATATCTTGATTTAAGAATGCTTGGAATTTGGACAAATCAAGGTATCATCGAGGTCTACATGCCATTGCGAAACCATAACCAAGATGTAATTAATTGCATTTATAATTTGTTATAACTTTTCTGGGAACACTGCTAAACCATAAATTTGACTACTTATCCATGATCTAAGGATGGCCGAAATTTGGATAGCTTGATATATCCGAAAGATAAACAATTTCATATGTTCCTATATTAGTCAGTCCCAAGTTATTTTTTATAGTCAGACCAAGTATTAGGCAACTTGCCTGATACTAACTTAGAGAGACGTTAAGCCACTTAATTTTTTATTAATATTGTAATTCGACATCTTTAAAAAATTGTCTAACAAATAGTGTGGAATTCGTTGTCTGACCATTGTCCATAATTATGATTGTTCAAAGTTTGCTACGGTTGATAACTTCACCGTCAAACCATCAATTTGGCTATAGAATGGTAATAGAGCAGATACCAATCCACAATTGATCCATAAGGTATCATTGAGGTCTACATTCCATTGCCGAACCATTATTAGGATATGATTGGTTGTGTTTATAAGTTGTTATAACTTTTCTAGGAAGACTGCCAAACCATGAATTTGATCAGAATTTGGATACCTTAATACAATCATATATGTTCCTATATTGGTCACTTTAGGAATATTTCATTGGTGCAAGTCCAAAGGAAAGGATAGTAAATATTTTGTTAAACCTACAACTTAGAAAACATTATAAGAACGTCAAGATGGTTAGACCTTCCGGATGCCAATGCAATGCACACATACTGACAAAAGAAGTAAAAAATCGTCATCCATAATTGGGCGGCATGATTTGCTTGCCAATTTGTTTGTTGTAATTCATTGGCATAAGATATTATGATCCAAAAAGCACACCTTTGATAAATTGTCTGAGTATTAATAAATACATAGATGATTGGGACACATATAGTTGAATACATCAAAATCACCGTGTATTAACTACAACCATGTAACATCAAACCGCAAATGTTCATGCAAGCAAAATAACTTGCACAATAACAACTATCATAATCTAGCAACACTAAACCCGGAATAACCAAATCTCTGAATCACCATCACCATCATATCAGGATACTAACCATGACACGCCCACAGCACGAAACGTTGACATCCACAATGACCAAATCCGATACAATAACATTTCATTCATAAATCACAAAATCGAACCTCAACTACTATCGGATTTTGCTACCCTGTGATAGTAATGCACCGTGCAGCACAATTCGATTATAGTTGAGGGCCGATCGTGTCACCTGAGAACAGAGTTAGCAAAAACAATACACACACGAGTCTTGTTAACATAAAACAATCCATAAATGTTTCAAGTAGCTCAGTCCCAAAACAAATGCTTACATATCGGCAGGAACAAACAGATAGTATGGCCGAAAAAACAATGCTTAATCTTTAGACAAAATACAAACCATGAACGTTTAATGTTACTCAACGTCAACAATACAGGGAAAAATTAATTGCCCCTCATATGAACATACCGACAACAAATACTCACTGTTCAGCCAAAACTGTAAGCTGAAAATAAAATCAACAAACATTAGTGAGCATATAATTCACACTAATCGATTGCAACCATAGCCATACCAAATCAATGATAGTACTGAAGACTTAATAAACACAACTTGGCACAGAACACGCTGGCTATTGTATGAACACGTCAACTCTTTTCCTTGTAACCTGAAAAACAAAATCAACGAATCCACATTTTATGTCGATCGATCGACAGAAGAGACGCATCAAATCAATGACTCTACCAAAAAAATAATAAACACAAATCCTCATTTCCTTGAAAACAAACATAACAAAATGAAATCGATCTTCTTGTTAACATTGTTAAGGAACAATTATCCATTCGTATAAAAATTGGGACCTAAAAACGGAAACAACAAAAGTTAATTAATCTTCATATTAAAATTATCAAGGAACACACTTACCATTCGAAAGGAATAACACAATCAATCATTCAAATAAATTGGCCGAACAAAAACAATCATTCAATCTGACAATAACTGTTAAAATAGTTGGAAGACATACTTACAATTTCGCATTAAAATAGTTAGAAGATATACTTACAATTCAGAAGAACAAATCAAAATAACAACTCATCTGACAATGTCAATTGGACATCCAGCCTTTATTCCATGCCAATTCATGAATCTTTGACTTGTAAACAACAAAAACATACATAAATAAAAAACCATCGATCAAAATGCACATGAAGAACAAACATATTATTTTCACAAACTAAAATAACATATAAACAATTAACAAAAGACCAGACATATTGTTGATACCAACTAACAAATTGCGATGATACACAACTAAACATGAGCCCCTTTTATAACCCCTTATTTAAACCTTCTGAATACCAACGCAATTAAATACGATTTCAATACGAAGAAAGTTTTCCAATGTCAATACAATGCACCTATATAATTATAGATAGCAATTCTAGACAAATGTCATTAGACCACAATTAGTAATAGCAATCTAATACACCTGTATACTTGTTATTACTGCACATCTTTGGAATGTTAATACAATGCACCTATATTTTATTATTATTATTAATACATATCCTATTTTTTTAATTAATTAATAATTATAGATGGAGTAATAAATACCAATCCAATGTGTCAAGATAGAACAATTTGATTGACTTGTCAATCCAATGTGCCAAAATGGAACAATTCTAGAGCTTCCAAAATGCACCACATGATCGAGTAGGGGTCTCTATTTTAAAACCTAGACTGGACCGGTCGGTTCAACCGGTTCGACCGAACCCGATCTTATTTCCAGTCCGAGCTAATATAAAACCCGGTTATAACCAAACAACTGTGTTAACCCGCCATTGAACCGGATGAACAGTGCCACCCACTCGGGCCAACCGACCCGCTAGGTTAATCGGTTCACTGTTTCAAATGAAAAAAAAAAAAAAACCCTAACTCTATACTTTAAGTTTTTCTATGCAAAACACCAAAGGCAATCACACACAGCCACTCTCTAAATCGCAGCCACTTTGAGCCCTCTCAGAAGTCGCAACCCAATCTCAATCAACTCCACTCTCTCAAGCTTGAAATCGCAACCGCTGTCTCAATCTCAATCTCAATCAACGACGACACCTCCCTTGCTCGACGATGACGACGACGACGACGACGTCTCCCTCCCTCGCTAGAAATCGACGACGACAACACCTCCCTTACTGGAAATCGACAACGACAACACCTCCCTTGCTCGACGACGACAATGCCTCTCTTCCTCACTAGAAATCGACGACGATGACGCCTCCATTGCTCAAAATCAATGACAACGATGCCTTTCTCCCTCGCTTAAGCTTTGTAAAGGTATTTCCACTGTAAAAAAATGCTTAGTGTGATCTGGAAATCGACGACAACTCCCTTTTTCTGGATTTTGCATGTTTCGACTGAGTTGAGTTTTGTTATCTCAAAAATGCTTGGAAGTTTTGTTAGTTGTATTTGTTTTGAGAAGGGAAATAAGAGTCGGTTAATTAAATAATGGAAAGCTTGCTTGTTGGGTGAAATTTTTGGACATTGGTCTGCACTCTAGTGTGGTTGTCATTAATTCTGCTTGTGGGTGAAATTTTTGTTAGGTGGAACTTGAAAGAATGGGTGAGAGACAAATGTTTGGCTTGTTCATTAATTTTGAAGTTAACTCCCTTTGTTGGCGGAATTGTTATAATAAAGAAAGTTCTTTTATTTATATATTGTATTTGTATTTTATATGTTTATGGACTCCATGAATTGATGGATATTGAAGGATACAGGAGTAGGGTTTCGGATTTAATTAAATTGGTGTTTGGGTTCAATCATCAATGGAAGTAATTGGGTTGAATGAAAATAATTGGGTCCAATGGTAAACATAACAATAATTATTTAAACATATTATATTAAAATATATAATGATGTCACCGATCCAATCGGTTAGACCGATTGACTCGTGACCCAAGCAATAAAACGAGTTACCCTCCGGTTCAAGTTTTGAAATAGTGGTAAGGGTCGCCTTGTATTCGCAAGTAGGAGAGGTAGGGCCAAGGAGCTAGATAGGTGTAACAGCATTACCCATTAATATTTAATACCTTTATTTAACATTCCTCAAACCTCTCATTCAACTCGAACGAAGTGTGAGACCATTATTTAAACGAATACATATGATTACGTCTATCTGGTTGGACCAACCCACATGGGTATTCAGCTTTATATATATATATATATTTTGCATCTTCTAAAATTCATGAACAAGCTTCAACACTTACAGCAGCCATTATTGCCAAACTCCATTACTAACATTCAATTACACAACTTCTCTGTTTGCTACATAACACTCAATACTAAAAGCCATAAATGGTGCCACAACCACAAGCCCCATCGGCTATCATAGTAACATATTCAAGAAAACCTATTCCATTCAAACACCCATTTGGTTTTCTAGACATTATCTTCTCCCTCCTAAGCACCATCATCATCAAGGTTGTTCACCCGTTCACATTCATCAATCCATTCGCTGTATCTGCAATCACAAACTCCATGTAAGCAAAATAAAAAAAAAATAAAAAAAAAAAAAAAAATATATATATATATATACATACACACACACACAAATGACAGTGACAATTCCAGATTAGTTAAACTTACATGTCGATTGGTTCGGTTAAAGCTGCAACCAGAGAGGAAGAAAAATCAATCATCCATCAACACAAAGTTAATTTAACAACTTAAATGAAATAACTTGAACTTCAGCCTTTAAAAATTCTTGAGCTTCACTTTCTATTTTCCCTCGACCACTTTATAAGATTAATTAAAAAGAAGCACAAAAGATTTAAGCTCCCTCCAAAATTTGATCAAGTTCGTTCAAGAATATTCCAATTACCTGTGATAGTGGTGCTGAAGCTCTCTTGGCATATCAAGCATACAGCTTCACCTATTAAGTTCTTCATATCGCTGAAATCACAAAAACACTAAAAGTCAGTACGCAAATTTGAAAACTACACCCCTATCATATCAATTGATATTAATTGGATTTACACTTAATGAATCCAAATTACCACATGGAGATCCCAGGGGCTCAAATTTTTTGAAGCTGTTTATAAGTTCCAATAAAAATAATACTCAGGAAACAAACTTAAAAATTTGAATGAACTCTTACATGCGGCATTCAACACTGGTGCCATGGTTACAGAAGGGACAACTGAAGACAGTATCAAGCTTATCCATCCGCTTCTTTGGTGGAGGCTTCGCCCTTGACTTCCTCTTTCCCATTACTCAAGTCCTTCTACATCAAAGTTACCGGTCAGAAACAAGTTAATATATAAATAAAATAAAATAAGAAGAAAAGATTTTAACAAGAAGAAGAAAACCATCAGCGTTTCACAATAACCACTCACTATTCCAACTACAAAAACAACCACAGCGCCTCTCATATACATTACCGGTTACCATATATTTAAAATAATTAAAAAAACTAATTTAATCCGTAATTTTCTTTGTTTAGAATCAGTAACATTAATTAACAACATGAGATACGAAACAGAATTTCTTTCCTTTCCTTATTTTTTTAAAATAATTTTTTGCCAATGTTTTATGGTTACAGTTGAACCGAAACCCTAAAAATTAAAGTCAATCGCCTTAAATTATCTACAGAGCTAAAGGTGAAATTTCGTTTTCATTGAATAACATGTAATTTAAGCTCAAACTCTCGCATTCCAAAAAAAATATATATAAATTTTTTTAAAATTTCTCATAAACCGCATAGAATGTATCTATAAAATAAAGAAAAAACCAAAATTGAATTTCTTTTTGATATAAAAATAACCATCGAGAAGGGACGCACCAAAGGATCGACAAAAATCGATTCTCGATTTAAAAAAATCGATTACGTATGGTTTCGATCTGCAAATTTGTCTGCAAATATTACCAACACTATCAGAAAACAATGAAAATCGTGATCGAATTAATCAAATAGATTAACAAAAATTAAGAAAAACAAATCAACTGACCTGTAAGAGATTCCGATTAGCGCACAAAGCAAAACCCTAGCTTTGTCAATGAGAAAGATAGAGCCAACGATGACTTGTATCGACTATTTATAATTTTGAGAAATTTCTAGGGCGACCTAGAATACGATGCCGTTTCTCTGTTTGTTTTTCATCCGTTAATTACCGCCACTTTTCATTTTATTAGCTGTATACTAATATTGTTTTCCTTGTTGATTTCGGAAATCGGAATTGGCTTGCCTTAATTAACTAGGATTAATTAAACAAGAATGTTTAGATTTTAATTTTAATCCTTAAATTAAATTTAATAAGGTTTTTACATCCGGGGTTACCTCCAAAAACCATTTATCATTTTCACAGGCCTCACTGACGGATCATTTAACAAGACTCAGTAAAGCCCAATTCCGGCCCAACGCTTAAAAGTAGGCCCAATAAGCTATCTACTTTGCTAACATGCGCCGCTCAAACGTTCAAAAAACCTCGAAAAAACCCTTACTCCTCTGAAATGGCTGTCACTCACTCACTGTCTTCCTTCAGTCCTTCTTTTTCCTTTATTGTCCCCAAATTACTCTTCTTTAAACCTGGAAATCGCTTCCCTGTCGTTTCCTGCACTTCTCCGAAAACCACTGCTTCGCTATCTACAGAACAGGAAGTTTTGAAAGCAGTGGTGGAATCCGATGGCAATACGCTTCCGTGTGTCAGAACGTACGAGAACGACTTGGCTCGGCTCAGCCTTGTCGGTGCCGTTGGCTTCAACCAGGCTCTGACCGCCGCTGCGGCTGATGGAGGTCAAGCTGCCTCCGAACATGTCATGTCCGGTTTGCCCGCTATGGTCGTTGAAACCGTTTATCCTGGCCCCACGAACGAGCGCGCCACGGTCTCCACCCGGCTGGTCAGCATTGAATCTTAATTTGATTTGTTTTCGTTTATAATGATTGATGAATGTGTATAAATCAATTTTGAAGTTTAGCGTTTGATTGATTTGCAAGAATTTTGTTATAGAAGTAATGAACGGCTATATTATGATGAGCTTGATATTATTTATTATTTCTTCTGAAAAAAGTATTATACCGGCATTTGAGTTTTGTAAGTGAACCAGTGTAGTGAATTTTGGGGGACTTGAGAAGTAAAAAGATGTGGAATCATGTTTAATTTAGTTTGTTGTGGTTATTGTTGCATCTTTTTGTGATTCTATTCGATGTTGATTGTACATTTTGTAGATTTTGTTTGTGTTTATGGATAGGAGTTCTGAATTCAATTGTAATTTGCAGTTTTTGCCAGCTAGGAAAGTTGAAGAGAAAGCTAAGAGACTCAGAAAATCTCTTTCTAAAGATGTTCTGTATGGCACCACTTCTAAGAACATACTTGCCATGACATTTAGACAAGTAGTGATGCAACAACTTTTGAAATTTGAACTGGTTTTGTTCAGACCTGGCTCAGAAAGAGATATGGAGGATCTTGAAAACCCGAGAAAGGTTATAAACTGTTTTTTGTCTTTTAAGATTTTTATTGTTACGTCTGCATCACTATGTTGTGATACCATACTAGTATCTCTGTTATGCAGGTGCAACTTGGTACTGATAGGTTCAGTTCTCTTATTTATTTGGTATTAGCAGGTTCCTGCATCATTCACCCTTACCTCTTCAGATGAATGGGTTATCTCAATACTTGCTGAAGTTGTTTGCATTTCTGCTCTTCAGAGTACTGAAAGACATTTCCTCAATAATTCATTGGGTAAAACTTCAAGAAGTTTCTTTCCTAGGTTTTGGAAGCCCAAAAAGATTATATCAAAAGATTCTTCTATTGTCATATATAAATTATTTGAAGATGAGATAATTGAAAACGCCAAGAGTCTGCTAGAAACTTTTAATTCAACGAAGGAAAATGTTAACCCTGTCAAAGTGAGGCCAAAGCACAATTGGTGGTCATCATCAGCTTACTCTAAGTTGGAAAAGATAGGTGGGCCTGATTTTTGTGCTTGGACAAGTGAGTATGTACCTGCTTACAAGCTTCAAATAGATGCTAGTAGATTTAAGGATGTAAAGTTTGATGGTTGGAGAAATTGTGCTGAGAATAGGTGGGAAATTCTTCTGACCCACTCCCAAATGGTATCTTATCTTTCCTTTTTAATATTTTTTATTTTGCTTTTAGTGGTACATTGTTTTTGTTGTGTTTGATGTGGTAATTCACTCATAATATAGTGTTCCTCTAAGTTACAAGATATTGGCATAAATCATTTTGAAATAGGTTGGTAATATTGATGTTGGTGACAATTCCTCCACCTGAAAACAGAACCAGTTGAAAAAAAACCCGTAATTTTGAGTGTGATAAAGCCAGATCACTGCTGTGCAATAATGAAGATTGTTTATCATTTACTATTGATTTGAAGTTTACTTTTAAATTTATTTTTCCTTTATTGTAAGTCTAGTTTCCTATATTTGTAGGCTGGGTTGGCCGACGTATTAGACATGTACTATGAAGATATTTTCACACTGCCAAGTAAACAGCTGTCATGTGAAGCAGTTGTGAATTATACTAACTTGTCCAGTAAAAAGGTATTTAACTTATATCAATTTTATCTATTTCAGCTCTTCATTTAATGCTTAAATTTGAATGTTTAATGACATATGCTTGCTGCTTATAATTGGCCTTCTGGCTAATGTCAGTGAAACTTTGAATAGATAATTGATCTCAAAATGATTTGTGATTTTTTAAACTAAAAGTTGACAAGTTATAGAACTTTTGATCATGGAAAGTGTGGTGCACATGATGCGTTTGCTATTTCAATATTATTGTTTGGGAAGTTAGGTTTTACTCTTTTTTTTTTTATTTTTTTTTTATTTTTTTATAGATTTTACTCTTCTTTTTTTATATTACTATTTTTCTTTTGTATTAAATGTAAGTGATGTAGAATCTGGATCTAATCATTTTAGGAAATAATTTATTTAGGAAATTTTCAGTCAAATTATTTCTTCTTTTATGTTGATTAAGTTTTCTTAGTTTGTTATAATTTAGGTTGCTTATTATAAGAAGATTTACATGTTATATTTTCCCTCTTTAATTTAGCATTAGCTTTATGAAAAAGACTTTATGCTCTTATTTTATGCAGACAATGATATGAAAAATTGAACTTTGTTTTCTCTTTTTCCCTAAGTTTATCCCCTTTCTTCCTGTCTTATTCTATCTTGCAGGAAAATTATAACCAAACCAGCTCCTGCAAACACTCAAATCTGTCTTAAAAACTTCCATAAAACACATAAACCATCTTATATTAGCATTCCACAAAACCTCACAGCCCATAAAAAGGCCACAAAATAAATGAATAAATAAAAAATGTGGAATACCAGAAAGTGATACCAAATGGTCACCTCTGTTCCACCGCACACAATTTAGAATCAGCACTGTTGACACCGCTCTTTCCCAAAACTAGCAATTTTCTAGATTTCACCAGCCTTGCATGTACCTCCTGTTAGACTTGATTAGGTTTGGTAGGTCTATCTCTAACTCCCTATTGTGGCATTGTTTTGATAGAATTTTGGCTCTACTAAATTGATATAGAACAATCAAGATCAAAATAATGAGGGGAAGAAAGGGGAGAAAATTGGACAAGAAAGAAATGGAAGAATAATAGCAGAGAGAGAACAAGATTCAACTTATATATCAATCTCGTGTTTGCATACATTAAGAACCTAAAGCCTTTTTTATAATGGCTATTACTAAATAAAATGGGAAAAATTTTCAAACCTTCTGATAATAAGCAACCTAAATCTTACCTAACTAAGAAAAGAGAAAAGGAAATGAAGCTATATCAACTTAAAATAAGAATTAAAACCAAATCACCATATAAGAAGAAAAAAAACTAAATCAACTTAAATGAAGAAATAGTTTGATGAAAACATGCTCTTAAATACATCATTTACTAAAATAATTAGATCCTAGTTTCTCCATTAGTAGTGGGAGGATTTGATGTCATCTTAATATTATTTTTTGAGGAAGTTGAATTTTTATAATCTTAGATATGCGTTTCAATTATTTACTTGTTTTCATGTTCCCCTTTCTTCTAGTGTTGGAATTTTATGGGGAGGCAGGTAAGGGGTTTATGGTTTGTGAAGGATCCTGGTGCGAACAACTTGTTATTGGTTTCTGATAATCGAGTTTGGGTTAAATGCTCTGTTTAGTTTAATTTCCATTGAGTCCTGGCTGATTGGTTCCATTTCTTACAGGGAAACTATTCTTTTTTGAAAATTCTATCTGTCACTCTTGCAAGTGGAATTTTTCTTGTTGCCATCAGTGCTCTTGGTCAATTTTTTTTGCCTCATTTATACAAGGGAGACAAGTACCCGAGACAAAACAGGTTGCTACCTTCTTCTCAAACTGAGCCTGCTATACACCAGCTTGCAGATGCTGCGAAGGTATACTTTCTTTTAGCGTGTGAGATTGCCACTATACAAGTACTTTAGCAGATAAGTTTGTCCAAGAAATACACTCATTTCTTAAAGGACTTTACAATCAAAAACTCATGTCAGCCTTTAACTGCAAGGAACCCCAGTCCCTCCCATTTGGACTGACCAGGTAAAATCCTGGAACAATTTGAGACCAGCAATACACAGAAAATTCTGGAAAGTGCATAAAATGGCATTTCTAAATTTTTTTTTGAAGAAAAGGTGGAAAGGTCTTTTGGGAACAACCTTATTGCGGTCAAATCATGATGATTGTGCTACGTTTATTAACTTTTTGTTTATGATTGATTTGTATTCAATATTTCTTCCCGTATTTTTTTTTATCTTTTAAAGAAATTTATTCTCCCTATCATGTTTCTTCATGGCGCAATGTTTTTTCTTTAATCATGTGCAATATGGAAATATTTCATTATATATTAAGTATACATATGTGTTTAGGTTTACATCTTTTTGTGTTAGGAATGCTTGAGTAAGTGCTTTCTTTCATGTATCTCCCTTATACTATAATGCCCCATGTTTTTTTTATCTTGTTGTTGGTGTTTTGAAGATAATATTTGAATTTTCAACTAAGACTGGTACCATATGCATTTTTTTAATAACCCTAAAATCTCTCAGAGTGTGTATAGGCTTGAAACATAGAGACAACTACCAGAACCTACAATCTTTAGCTGTCAAGAAAGTCCATGAGATATTATATCCCAGGTTGGTGGTCTTAAGAAGACTTAAATCTTTGACCTCATGGTTGAAAAACAGAGGGCCTAACTAGTTGGTTCACCTCTTTGAGTTACACTACCGTATTTTCAATAAATAGGTTTATCTGGAATTAGGATTATGTTACTGTTGGGCCTATTTAATATTATGTTCCTATATACCAATTTGGATTGGGGTTGTCAGCTGTTACAGAGTAGTTATCTTTAATGAGTATTATTGAAGCTAATCTGCATTTCTAAAACCTTTTTGATTTTCTCTGGTATGCATGTTGGTATGCTTGGCTGTGCTAAATATATTAGGAATTTTGATTAGTTACAGGGTTGCTATTAATTTCAGCAGCTCTTTTGTTTAAATGATTTTGCATTAGTCATGTAAAGGCCACTGATTCTGTTGAATATCCCTGACAGCATAGAGGTTTATGCTTGAAAGCAGTTAATCACCAATCTTAGAAGTTCTTAAGTTTTAGCTTGTTCATTATAATTTTTGCATATTTATGAGTTTCATTCTAAAAGAAACTTAAAATTTGGATTTACTGTGGATAGTTGGAAGAATTTTGCGTTTCAATTGTCAAAAGGATTAAGGATGCTTTTGATTGGCGTGGTGACATAATGACTGAAAAGAGTATTGGTGCTTGGATTGGGGAAAAGCCAAATTACTTGAAATTAACTCATGAAGATGATTCCAGTAATGGGGAGAATTCAACTGATTCTGCTCCTTCAGAGAAAATGGATGCAGACATGAAATCATCTGTGCAGGATATTGCTAGTTATCAGGTAATTTTTACTTGTACAAGTTTTCTTTTTTTTTTTTTTCTTTACAATTTTCTGTGTCCTCTTTTTAGCGCATATGCCCATGTGACAAGAAGAAATAAAATAAAAAAAGAAGCTCAAATATGAAATTACACTTTTGATACAATACATGCATGTGCTATGTGGTTTGGCCTACGGGTAGTTATGGTGGTGGTGTCCTTACTGATAACTAATCCCCATCCGTAATTTGAATTGTTCAACCAGGTCAAGCTGAACCTGAGCTATCCTAGTACCATTTTTTTTCTCTGTACACTGGATCTAAATTCTAAAAAGCACTCAAACATCCTTTTAAGTTTTAGCTCTAAAGCTAAAGCATGATTGTGCACTAAGTTGTACATTTTATGTATGATCAGTTACATACTAGCCCTGTTTCTCCATTCGTTTATTGTCTAGTTCTTCTCGAATAAGTAAACCTAGCCACATTTAGTTAAACATGGTCATTTCCACTATGTAACATCAAATTAATGTTCTTGGCAATAGTAAAAGGAGTTCCCTTTTAACCTTTATGGTACGGATGGTGTTCTTTGGAACACAATGGAATGAAGTGAGGACTTCAATGAATTTCTTCATTCAGGCTACATTATTGTCAAGAACAATACTGTAGGACAAGGAGTGTACCATAGTGGTTTTAGTAGGAGTGTCCTACTGTTAGCATTCTGCTTGTTTGATATTCATTATATCATTTTGGTACTTGCATCCTGTTGTTGCTTATCATTCTTGGACAGCTCCTCTTATATTTTTCATTTGCTTGCTTGTTATTTGGTTGGACTTTAGGTGGTTCTTTCAACTGATGGAAAAATAATTGGGTTCCAACCAACAAGTCGAGTGGGTGTAAATCATTGGGCTGCCAATCCCTTGGCACGGGAGCTGTATGGTGGGAAAAAGCTTGCCCCTGGTAAGATTAGTGTTGATGGCTTTTATATGTGTTGTTTCTTCTGTGTCATACTAAGTCAATGTGATTGATGTTCTTGGCTTGTTGCTTGCAGGTTTCATAGAACCCAACCTGAAGATCCGGCTTCCAAATGAGATAGTTTTAATTGAGCTATTGATGTCTGTCAATTCAGATTCATGTTTTGCATTGGCGAGGCCAATTCAAATTCCTGTTGATGGTGAATGACTGCAATTAACTATTTGTCATGTTTTATGATGTTTGGATAAATCATAAGTGAATCTTTGTGCGATCATGTTCTGCATTTGCTGCAAAGATTCAGTGTTCCTTGAAGATCAACTGATAAGGCGATGGAATGACTGCCTTTACATGTAGACAGATAAAGGTACATGGATTTCCCCCCAAGAAGCTATTTAACAAGTTAATATAATGTGTGGATAGTAAAAAAATTTCACCTGGTGTATAGAAACACTGAGGTGAGTTTTTCTAAGTTAGTGGGGAATTTTGATTTGTGTGGGCGGGAGTTGATGTTGGAAAGATAATTATGATGTATTGATCATTGTTAATATGAATCGAGATTCTTTCATATACATACTATTGTAAATATTCATTTTTTTTTTACCCGTGAATTTTCCAAATCTATAAAGCAATTTTATTCTGCCTCCTCTATTTCTTTTCAGGATCTAAATGATAATCCTTTTGTTAAGCCATGATTCTAATCTAAGATTCTTGCTTGTCAATTTCATTTCATCGGAAATATATAACATACTTACTGAGGATAGAATAGTATTGTTCAATTTCTTGTCATTGGAAATATAGAGCAAAATTATGCTGCCAATCACTGTTCCTTAACCGATGATATTCCTTTTCCATTGCATCCCCTCCTCATGACAGCCATGGATCTCACTCGGCCTGCCATTTGAAGCGATTCTCTGTGACCTCAAACCCCATTTCGTCTTCTTTGATTTCACTCACTGGTTGCCAGCATTGACACAAAAGCTAGGCATCAAATCCATACTTTGTATTATTAGTTCTTCCACTATTCATTATTTTTTAAGCCCAGAAAGAAAATTTCCTCAGAACCTGATATATTGCAACCTCCACAAATGTACATGCCCATCAACATGAAGCTCGACTAGTTGCTACAACCGTTCAAGACTTTGGTGGCTTATCATTAGGAGAATGACTATTAGCATCTTTGAGTGAGTGTGATGCTATTGGTTTCAAAACATGCAGGGAGATTGAAGGGGCTTACTGTGATTATATTGCAAGCCAGTTCTTTTGGCAGGGCCTGAAGTGCCAGAACCTCCTTCTATAACTTTAGAAGAACAATGGGAAACGTTGTTGGCTGGTTTCAAAGCTAAAAGTTTGGTATTCTGTGCATTTGGGAGTGAGTGTATCATGCAAAAGGCCCAGTTTCAAGAACTGGTTTTAGGTTTTGAGCTCACTGGTTCACCATTTTTCGCTGCTCTAAAACCACCAATGGGACATGATACAATAGAGCCGGCATTACCTCAAGACTTTCAAGAAAGAGTTAGAGGAAGACGATACATTCATGGAGGGTAGATTCAGCAACAGCTGTTCTTGAAGGATCCTTGTGTGGGTTGTTTTGTGACACACCGTGGATCAAATTCATTATCAGAGGGAACGGTGAACGATAAATTAGATTTATTTAAATTACATTAACTGAAAACAATAACCTAAAATTATGTCTGTGTAGTAGGTTATTTGAAAAAATGTTATTCTGAAAAATTATCTAATATGATAGGATATGATGAAATTAGATATATCTTGTCGGCCAAAATGTGGTCGTAGTCAATGGGCAAAATATGGTTGTCGTCAACGGCCATATCGTTAACGACCAAATCTCTGACTATAGATCTAGTCGTTTTCAGTCAGATCCATGATAGATTTGGCTGGAAACCACTATATCGGTGCACCAACTAGATCCAATCGGTCATGCGTTGTTTCGACACTGATGGTCAACGGTGCTTGCTGGCGGTTGACAGTGGTTTGGGTGGGTGGGGTATTTTTTTTAATTTATAAATTTTTATTGTGAAATGTAACTGTTTTTAGTTGAATGGAGTGGAAAAAAATATTAGAATAAGATAATAAAAAATAGGTTTTGCTCACTTTTCATTTTCAATAAAAAAATCTTATTTGATTTAGATTAATTTTCAAAATAATGATCTCAATAAATAAATATTTTGTTTTTTTAATCCAAATATAGTAATAAAAAATTGATTGAAAAGAGTCAGTAGACAGGTAATATTTACTTAAATAGCATTTACTGTTTAAACAAAAGTATTAATTCAAAAAAATATCCTATTCATCCACGTGTATGACTGAGATTGCAGGAACTACTTCGTTTCGGTGTAAGTGAAAGCAGCAGAGGAAACCGTGGGGAACACGGTAATAGGGTTTTAGTTGCCAACTTGGAAAGGACGATACGTAAAATATAAAAGGAGCAGTCAAGCGAGCCGAAAATCAATTCATTCTCATTTTATACGAAAGAAGTGAAAGCAAGTTTGGATTTCTTGAATCAAATCATCTCATTACTTAGTGTTTTTGTTGTTGTTATTGTGATGGGAAGAGGCAAGTTCAAGGGCAAGCCCACCGGGCAACGCCAGTTCTCCACCCCTGAAGACATACGTAAGTGCTCCACCTTTTAATTTTCAGTTTTTAAGCTTAAATTCAAATTTCCGCTGATAAGTAATTAATAATCTAGAATTTAAGTTTTCAAATATAGATGAGATTGTGATTTGTTTATAGTAATGTTATGTTGATTTTGAATGATGAGAACCAAATATTAGCTGATTAATGGTCTGAAATATAGATGAAATTTGAATTGTTTAATTACTTTGAGTTTTCAAGTTTTCTAAATTTTAAATTCTTGTTTGGTTGCAGTTGCGGAAACTCTACCCGTCCTCGTACTTTCAAACGGGTTTTTCTCTTTTTCTTTCTACCAATTATGCATGGTTTGTCTAACTGATGATTGCTGATTATTTTAAGGTTTTATTAGGTGGAAGCTGAATATGAGAGGAAGTATCTGATGTGGAATCTGGGGAAGAATCTGAAGAGAAAACTGAAGTAAGTTGTGTGTAATTTTTTTCAATTTTTCAATGAAAAATTAACTTTAAACTCATGTGTTCTATGATGATTTAGCAGAGTCGTAAAGGAACTGAAGGTCTGATTAGATCAATCCTAATTTAGTCAAGTCAAAGAATTTGAAAGCTAAGATGTTGATGTAAGTTTCATGCATCCTCCTTGTAAATTATGTATTACTGAAAAGGTTGTGTTAATAGCAGTGACCAAAAATATTAGTACTTCACTCATTAATCCATTCTTTCTTTTTTTCCTTGTGCGTTTGGGAGACCAACTGAACTTTCAAGGCGTGAAAGGTTTTTGTTCGCATTGGTTAAAGTGGGAGGATGCTACCTTAATTAAACAGAACTCTTTATAGGTTCGGAGCTGGTTTTGATTTTTGAACTGTAGATGGAAGAAGAATTGGAATTTTCTTTTATGAATATTGTAAAACAAATCAGTTTAATCAAGATAGGATGGAAGAACAAGTGGATTTTTCTCTTACGAATATTTTAAAACAAATGGGTTTAAACAAAGATAGGATGGTAGGGCGGTCGCCTATCTTAGAATAGAGAGATGAAAAAATGTCACAAGCCCATGATCAAATTGTTGTCTGTTAGAATCTTTCAAATGAAGCAATTATCCTTATTACATATCACTTCTCTTGTGCGTTATAGAGAGACTGGAGAAACAAAGATCTCATGAACGTTACATGAAGCTGCAAGAACAAGGAAAACAGAAAAAGCAAGACAGGATTTAGGTGAAACTTAGCTATTTCTCTTTTCATATTTAGTTGTGCAATGTTAATCTTTGTGGTTGAACTGGTTACTGTGTTAATGGTGATGACTTTCATATATGCAAAATTTTGCCTCCTTATTACTTTCCATGATCTTGCAACATGTTAAAGTTACTCGTATGGTGGCATATCTTGGCATCACCACTTTCCTCTTTGCTTATTATACTAGATATATGGGCCCTTTTTAGCTTTTATGTGATTTTACATGTACTTGTAAAAGTTATAGTTTAGAAAATAAGATCAGAGTTCTTCAGGAGAATGAGATTATATTTCTTTTCGCCTCTTTTCCTCTGCCCTTAAGCGTAACAGTGGAAGATCTTGTGATATCAAGCATTCTTTTTTTTTTTTTTTTTGGATTACTGCTGGCTAATTTGCGCTCTCTATTTCTTTGACACCCACTTCTGATTGTGGTCTTGATGACTAGCTTCTAGCTTCAATTACCTGAAATTTGAATAGGTTTAGGAACCATGAGAACCCTAAACTTGTATCCAATCTGATCTAAACCCGGGCTGAGCATATTTTTGCGCCATTCCCACTTGATGTTCTTCAGTTGATTGACAATGTATGCTGTTGTCCAGTGCTACTACAATTAGTATTTTGTCATATTGACTTATTGTTGCACATGCAGAACGTTTAGCACTTATACGTCAGGAAAGGGCTGAAGCTGCCAAAAGACGGGAAGAAGAAAGGGGAGGTAATGCTCTGAGAACATTCAGTTTATTTGTGTTCTTAGATATATGATTTTAAAACTTACTTATACATATATATTCACTTGTTTCAGCCAAAGAGCGGAAGAAGGCGGAAGCTCGGAAATGACATTCCTAGAGATTATTGATGTGAAACAAGTGACTTAGTACAGGAAACATATTTCCATTATAGATTGTGTTGTTGTTTAACTTTTAATCAAAGATTTATATAGAGGAAACAATTGTCTCCTTGATCTCTTTGCTTATAATTTGAAGATTTATTAAATAAAATGATTTTTATTTCACTGTTATTTCAATGTTTGGCTTGGCTTCCTGTGGGAGGCGTAGGACTTCAACGCCCTTATTATTAATATTTTTTGGGCTGAATTTTATTAATATTTCACATAATTTTAGAATATATTTTTTATAAATAGATGCTTTTTTTCTTCCGAAAGTGTTAAAAGAAATATTTAAGCAAAATAAAATTGTTGAGAGCCAGATGTCCACAGTTTGACAGATGGCAAACTAGAACGAAGATATAAATGTGAAAAGAACCTCTGTTTTTGTACAACGCTTAGCCCACCATGACCGACAGGCAAAATCCCCAAACCTCTCAGAACCTTCCTTCTTCTTCTTCTTCTTCTTCTTCTTCTTCCAAACTCACACCCGAAACCAGCAAAGCCAACAGCAGCTCTTCGGGCCAAAAGATCCGCTACCCGAACCCAGCGGAAACATCAATTCCCGACGCGGCAACACTTCGAGAGCAGTGGAAGTTCGCAATCAAGCAGTACAGTAAATGGTACTCCCACGCGTGGGGCACCGCAATTCTCGCGGGTTTGTCATTCTTTGCTCTTGGTTGGGTTATAAAGGGATCCAATCCTCTGCCCTCTTTCAAGGGTGATGATTCTCCTGCTCCTTCCGATGATCCTGATAATTCAAAGTGAACCTTCCTCGTTCATCACGCTTCTTCGATGTGGGTAAATCTGATTTCTCAATTGTTTGGGTTTTGTGTTGATTGAGCTTTGGGGATTTATTTGCAATAGTTCAGGTTTTGTAAATTTTAATTTTATGAATTATTAAGTAATATTACTTGCTGGACCCTTCGTCTCAATACTGAGTTGCAAGTAAAATCAACGAAAATTAAAACTTTGTAGGCTCCCAGCAATTAGGAGATAATTGTTGAATTAATTACTTTGGTCCCATCATTTAAAAGGGCAATCCTGCTTAAATTAACAGATAAATATATGTTTTAACTGAGAAAAGTTAATGTCTTTGTATATTATGATTCTGATAATACATCTTTAAAGGATGAAGATGAACGTCTAATTGTGTGTAATTTTACTCTGATTCTAGTCCTTACATTCAGAATTATGTGTTTCAGGATTGACTCATGGATGCTTCTTATAATATATATCCCACCGTTGTGAAGAAGACAGCTTTGTATCTAGAGTGTCACTTTCTGACATTTTCAACTGCTTTTATTGTACAGTGTTTCCGGAAATGTTATATCATAACAGAGGTTGTTAAGTAACAAGTTATCTTTGGGTGGAAAAGTTGGTGGTTGTTATCCTCTTTTCAGTTTGTTCTCAAAGAATGGTGTTAATGGCTGAGCCATTTGTGTTATTGTGTGTTTAAGGATGCATGTCTATTGGTGTTGATTAAGTGAAAGCAGCAGAGGAAACCGTGGGGAACACGGTAATAGGGTTTTAGTTGCCAACTTGGAAAGGACGATACGTAAAATATAAAAGGAGCAGTCAAGCGAGCCGAAAATCAATTCATTCTCATTTTATACGAAAGAAGTGAAAGCAAGTTTGGATTTCTTGAATCAAATCATCTCATTACTTAGTGTTTTTGTTGTTGTTATTGTGATGGGAAGAGGCAAGTTCAAGGGCAAGCCCACCGGGCAACGCCAGTTCTCCACCCCTGAAGACATACGTAAGTGCTCCACCTTTTAATTTTCAGTTTTTAAGCTTAAATTCAAATTTCCGCTGATAAGTAATTAATAATCTAGAATTTAAGTTTTCAAATATAGATGAGATTGTGATTTGTTTATAGTAATGTTATGTTGATTTTGAATGATGAGAACCAAATATTAGCTGATTAATGGTCGGAAATATAGATGAAATTTGAATTGTTTAATTACTTTGAGTTTTCAAGTTTTCTAAATTTTAAATTCTTGTTTGGTTGCAGTTGCTGGAAACTCTACCCGTCCTCGTACTTTCAAACGGGTTTTTCTCTTTTTCTTTCTACCAAATTATGCATGGTTTGTCTAACTGATGATTGCTGATTAATTTTAGAGGTTTTTTATTAGTATTATTTCTTTATTAGGTGGAAGCTGAATATGAAGAGGAAGTATCTGATGTGGAATCTGGGGAAGAATCTGAAGAGAAAACTGAAGTAAGTTGATGTGAATTTTTTTCAATTTTTCAATGAAAAATTAACTTTAAACTCATGTGTCTATGATGATTTTAGCAGAGTCGTAAAGGAACTGAAGGTCTGATTGAGATCAATAATCCTAATTTAGTCAAGTCAAAGAATTTGAAAGCTAAAGATGTTGATGTAAGTTTCATGCATCCTCCTTGTAAATTATGTATTACTGAAAAGGTTGTGTTAATAGCAGGTGCCCAAAAATATTAGTACTTCACTCATTAATCCATTCTTTCTTTTTTTCCTTGTGCAGTTTGGGAGACCAACTGAACTTTCAAGGCGTGAAAGGTTTGTTATTGCGCATTGTTTAAAGTGGGAGGATGCTACCTTAATTAAACAGAACTCTTTATAGGTTCTTGAGTTGGTTTTGATTTTTGAACTGATAGATAAGGAAGAAGAATTGGAATTTTCTTTTATGAAATATTGTAAAAACAAATCAGTTTAATCAAAGATAGGATGGAAGAACAAGTGGATTTTTCTCTTACGAAATATTTTAAAAACAAATGGGTTTAAACAAAGATAGGATGGTAGGGCGGTGGCCATATCTTAGAATAGAGGAGATGAAAAAATGTCACAAGCCCATGATCAAATTGTTGTCTGTTAGAATCTTTCAAATGAAGCAATTATCCTTATTATATATCACTTCTCTTGTGTGTTTATAGAGAGGAACTGGAGAAACAAAGATCTCATGAACGTTACATGAAGCTGCAAGAACAAGGGAAAACAGAAAAAGCAAGACAGGATTTAGGTGAAACTTAGCTATTTCTCTTTTCATATTTAGTTGTGCAATGTTGAATCTTTGGTGTTTGAACTGGTCACTGTGTTAATGGTGATGACTTTCAGATATATGCAAAATTTTGCCTGCCTTATTACTTTCCATGATCTTGCAACATGTTAAAGTTACTCGTATGGTGGCATATCTTGGCATCACCACTTTCCTCTTTGGCTTATTTATACTAGATATATGGGCCCTTTTTAGCTTTTATGTGATTTTACATGTACTTGTTTCAAAAGTTGATAGTTTAGAAAATAAGATCAGAGTTCTTTCAGGAGAAAGTGAGATTATATTTCTTTTCGCCTCTTTTCCTCTGCCCTTAAGCGTAACAGTGGAAGATCTTGTGATATCAAGCAATTCTTTTTTTTTTTTTTTTTGGATTACTGCTGGCTAATTTGCGCTCTCTATTTCTTTGACACCCACTTCTGATTGTGGTCTTGATGACTAGCTTCTAGCTTCAATTACCTGAAATTTGAATAGGTTTAGGAACCATGAGAACCCTAAACTTGTATCCAATCTGATCTAAACGCGGGCAGAGCATATTTTTGCGCCATTCCCACTTGATGTTCTTCAGTTGATTGACAATGTATGCTGTTGTCCAGTGCTACTACAATAGTATTTTGTCATATTGACTTATTGTTGCACATGCAGAACGTTTAGCACTTATACGTCAGGAAAGGGCTGAAGCTGCCAAAAGACGGGAAGAAGAAAGGGGAGGTAATGCTCTGAGAACATTCAGTTTATTTGTGTTCTTAGATATATGATTTTAAAACTTATTTATTCACTTGTTTCAGCCAAAGAACAGAAGAAGGCGGGAGCTCGGAAATGACATTCCTAGAGATTATTGATGTGAAACAAGACAACAAGTGACTTAATACAGGAAACATATTTCCATTATGGATTGTATTGTTGTTTAACTTTTAATCAAAGATTTATATAGAGGAAACAATTGTCTCCTTGATCTCTTTGCTTATAATTTGAAGATTTAATCAAACATTTACTAAATAAAATGATTTTTATTTCATTGTTATTTCAATGTTTGGCTTGGCTTCCTGTGGGAGGTGTAGGACTTCGACGCCTTTATTATTAATATTTTTTGGGCTGAATTTTATTAATATTTCACATAATTTTAGAATATATTTTTTATAAATAGATGCTTTTTTTTTTTTTTTCGAAAGAGTTAAAAGAAATATTTAAGCTAAATAAAATTGTTGAGAGCCAGATGTCCACAGTTTGACAGATGGCAAACTGGAACGAAGATATAAATGTGAAAAGAACCTCTGTTTTTGTACAGCGCTTAGCCCACCATGACCGACCAGCAAAATCCCCAAACCTCTCAGAACCTTCCTTCTTCTTCTTCTAAACTCACACCCGAAACCAGCAAAGCCAACAGCAGCTCTTCGGGCCAAAAGATCCGCTATCCGAACCCAGCGGAAACATCAATTCCCAACGCGGCAACACTTCGAGAGCAATGGAAGTTCGCAATCAAGCAGTACAGTATATGGTACTCCCACGCGTGGGGCACCGCAATTCTCGCGGGTTTGTCATTTTTTGCTCTTGGTTGGGTTATAAAGGGATCCAATCCTCTCCCCTCTTTCAAGGGTGATGATTCTCCTGCTCCTTCCGATGATCCTGATAATTCAAAGTGAACCTTCCTCGTTCATCACGCTTCTTCGATGTGGGTAAATCTGATTTCTCAATTGTTTGGGTTTTGTGTTGATTGAGCTTTGGGGATTTATTTGCAATAGTTCAGGTTTTGTAAATTTTAATTTTATGAATTATTAAGTAATATTACTTGCTGGACCCTTCGTCTCAATACTGAGTTGCAAGTAAAATCAACGAAAATTAAAACTTTGTAGGCTCCCAGCAATTAGGAGATAATTGTTGAATTAATTACTTTGGTCCCATCATTTAAAAGGGCAATCCTGCTTAAATTAACAGATAAATATATGTTTTAACTGAGAAAAGTTAATGTCTTTGTATATTATGATTCTGATAATACATTTTTAAAGGATGAAGATGAACCTCTAATTGTGTGTAATTTTACTCTGATTCTAGTCCTTACATTCAGAATTATGTGTTTCAGGATTAACTCATGGATGCTTCTTATAATATATATCCCACCGTTGTGAAGAAGACAGCTTTGTAGCTAGAGTGCCACTTTCTGACATTTTCAACTGCTTTTATTGTACAGTGTTCCGGAAATGTTATATCATAACAGAGGTTGTTAAGTAACAAGTTATCTTTGGGTGGAAAAGTTGGTGGTTGTTATCCTCTTTTCAGTTTGTTCTCAAAGAATGGTGTTAATGGCTGAGCCATTTATGTTATTGTGTTTTTAAGGATGCATGTCTATTGGTGTTGATTAACAATTTTGGAGGCATTAACCCCTCCCCTCATGATGGAATGGCAAATCCTTTATCTATTAGGGTATAACTCGAATGGCAAATCCTTTAATTATTAGGGTTAATTATACCCATTCGAGTCACAAGATTACTTTGGTCTATTAAACTTGTAGGGTGTTCCTTGGTCCTGAGAATTAAACAAACTCTAATGTGGGGTTAAATATCTCATATGGCTGAAAAAGAAATTTTGGAGTCATTGATTGTCATTACATTTTGAGAAGTTTAACATGTCTTAATAAAAAACGTAAATAATTTCTGAATATCTGATTACGATTCTTCTCTCTCTCTTCAAACTCTATGCTTCACAATGTTTCTTCGATGATGCTAAAGCTATGAAAATATAACCTCAATAAACTAGGGAATACCAATGATTTCGACTCAGAAATTCATGATGAAGGGACCATGAGGCGTTTAATTACAAACACAAATAAAGTCGTATTCTCTTTACAAAATGATGTGACCATAACCACCCACTTATGATTGGATGGATGGAGGGGGGTTGTAGGGTTGAAAGACTTGAGGGTCACAAGTTTAAGTTGTATTAAGTGGGTGGCTAACCAATTAGCTTACCTAAAAACAAATGGTGTGACCATTAATCTTTAAATCTTTAGTTTAGTTAAATGTAGATCCTTTATATTTGATGCATGACCCAATTCACTTATAATAAAGTAAAGTTAATGAAGGGATTGAGATTCCAAAGAGAAGGGTATCATTTACAAGATAGATCAGTTGAAACTGGAAAAAGGATTAAGCAAAATTAGTGAAAGACTGACAGTTACAAGTGACAAAGCAGTTTCTCCTTTACGGGGTTTTATATAAAGTTTGTATTAGTGAAGTAATTTACAAGCTATTCCGAGAAGTTGAGGCGTTGATAAACAATTTAAATACAGCATTTATAGCGGAGGAACACCTGGTACCTGGTACATACTACAGAGTATTTTCAAATCAAACTGAACTTCTGATAGTCTTTCTCCCTCTTAATGCCCCTAACTGACAACCCAAACAAAAGGCCATAAAACTAATTCACTGAATACAAAATATATAGAGAATCGGAAAATGATATATATTTCAATGACTGCAGATCAATTTTCGTGTCTTACTAAATTTTGCATATCAACTTCTGATGTTTGTATAAACAACAAACTTGATTGAAAAGAAGATCATGAAGACACGAAATGAAAACGACAAAGTAAATCTGATATGCTACAACACTTTAGGGTGAAATGATGGTTATACGATCCTGAAGTTTCAATTGTTCTTAACATAGCAAAAATAAACCACCTAGCGATTTGAACAGAACTTCCAGAGATTGGCAGAATACGTGTATCTCAATGCCCAAATGTCTGAAAATTATGGTGATCATGATTGACACATAATGATTTGTTTCCCTTCCAAATGTTATTGAATTTAACTATTAATGTCCTTTAAGACAAAGGTGCCTACCAGGAGTCCCAAATATTGACAAGGTGAGGAAAACTTTTGATTACTGAACATAGAAACTGTGCTGCCCCTGAGTTAAAAAGAGCATATCAACACTTTACTTATCATTTTCATGGTAGACGGAAATTTCGGTTCTGCATCATTGAAGCATCCTTCATAAATTTTCAACCCAAAACAGACAGTTTTTAAAAGCAAATTTAGAGCAGTTGGGAATTAGTATAATACACAAATGGGGGCAACAAAAGCAGGTAAAATATAGAATCAAAAAACATAAAGCAAAACCTCTAAATTTCTTTAAGATCCTAAGTCATTAGTTAAGATAGATAGGGCCAGGCTAGTATCTATATCACAAGTTCTACCTGTTAATATTTTGTTGATACATTTTCATGCAGTCAGGCAAACCTCTATGAAGATATGAACAAGCATAAGATGTCAAAGATTACTTTTCTTCAGACCTTTTCTCCATACTTAAGCAGAACAACATCCAGCTTTCTTCACGGCTGATACATCATCTTTAGTTCCAACATTGATTGTCTGTCCTTTGGGCAAAGCAGCCGGATCCTCTCCGATCTCAAGAGCCTTCTTGCTTACAATGCGATAGATCTGGGTCAGCACTTCTGTAAAGGAATTCTCAACATTCATGGACTCAAGGGCAGATGTCTCCATGAAAAAGGTGTTCTCTCTTTCTGCAAATGCAGTAGCATCTTCGGTAGATACCGCCCGAAGGTGTCGCAGATCTGCCTTGTTACCAACAAGCATGATCACAATGTTGGAATCTGTGTGATCCCGGAGCTCCTTAAGCCATCGTTCCACATTTTCAAATGTAACATGGCGTGTGACATCAAAGACTAGCAAAGCACCAACAGCCCCTCGATAGTATGCACTTGTGATTGCACGATACCTTTTGCAAAGAGAAAAAAAGAAAAGAAAAAAGAAAATGAACATTTTCAGTAGTATAATCCAAAGAGCCAGAAGTTTGAAGACTTATCAAGTAATTTTTATAAGATTGAAACAGAACAAGCATCCTAGTAAGAAACTGTGTTTCGGATTCTAAAGTAATAACATCATTCATACCAAGTACACTTGAAGCAATAAGAGATTTATATGAAGGGCAAATATAAAAATTTTAACTTCGGAAGTCAAAAACACAAGGAGGAGGGGGAAAGCTGGAGATAACCTTCAGGGTCTGAATAGTGTACTAAAAGAGTATCCTGGTATGGTCTGCCATAAAGCAGGGTTATCAACTCATTCAACAAAGATTTAATATTTAAAACCTGAAACAACAAGAATGGAGCAAATCTCTGCGTGCAAAAGGCTTGTTCATGAAGTGATGAATCTAAAATTAATCCCACGAATGAATTTGAATATTCTGGAACGTCAATTAAGGGAAGCCAATATTCTAAAGAGTTAAACTCAGAGATAATAATACAGTTCTAAATGTTTGATCTTCTCTTTGTTAATAAATACATTAAAACAAACAAAAACTAACAGCCCTTTCACCGTCATCTTCCATAAACGAATGAAACTAATAGATCCATTAAACAAAACCATACAATTATCAAAAACACAAAATCCCAGATCTATAAACAAATAAAAATTATACCTTTCTTGGCCGGCAGTATCCCAAATCTGGGCCTTGACGATCTTATCATCACAACGAATACTACGAGTAGCGAACTCGACCCCAATAGTGGACTTGGATTCGAGACTAAACTCGTTGCGTGTGAACCTAGACAAAAGGTTGGATTTGCCCACACCAGAGTCCCCAATCAGAACCACTTTAAACAAATAATCGTAGTCATCATCAGCTCTGTACGCACCCATTCGATGTTTTCGGATTTAAAAAAAGAAAAACAAATGAGAGATTTTTATTATTTCGTTCCACAAAACACATAAATGGGTGTTGGGATTTTTGTTCGTCGCTGGCTGTTTTAGTGTGTTTGTGTTTTTGGTAATATTTTCGAGTCCAAGCTGGCAACTCTAACTTTGTTGTTACAGAACCCAATTTCTGTTTTCAATTCATTGACACAACTTGTTCATAGTTAATTAATGGAGTAAACAATTTTACCCACCCAAGGTTTGGTCTAATGACATTTTACCACCCACCGTTACAATTTTAGCATCAGTTTTAACTGTAAAAGGACAGAATAGTAAATTAGAGACAATTGGAATTGTGTTGGGACTCTCATTCGAGGTTAATGTTTACAGAAAATGGGTTAAAGGATTATGCAATTCAAGAGGGCTTTGCATTAAGGAAGTTATCAATTCGAAAACTTTCTCGTTTGTGTTTGTTTCTCAGGAAAATTATTTACATTCCGTGTGTTGAATTGATAAAAACAAACGAAATTAGTGCAAGATGAGAATCAAATGTCGGAAAATATGCTTCGGGTTTTGCTTCAGCAATTGGTGGTGCGTTTCTTACTGTTTTGACTTCTATAATTGAGATTCAGCATTTTACTAGCTTTAGTGTTTGATATTTTTCACTTTAAAAAGTGCTAGCTTCAAATTGATTTTTGTGCTGCTGGCAAGCACTCTTGAATGCTGTAAAAAGTGGTGGTTTTAAAGCATTCTTGATTCTTTGTTTATTTGAAACGAATATGACACAAGATGACATTCCTAACGAATTTGAAAATATGCTTTGGGTTCAAGAATTGGTGGTACATTCCTAACAATGACCTCAGGAACTGAGGTTCGGCATTTTTCTAGCTTGTGTGTTTATTAAATTAACAGATTTTCCATCTTTATGAACAACAAGATTATCATTTTCAAACAAATGTATATAGCCTTTAGCAAAGGGTACAAAAGGGAGGCTTTTGTGAAACCCATAAGCCAAAACAAGAAGAAGGGAGAAGACAAAGAGAGAAGAACCCATTTGAGAAGTTGAAGACAAATAAAGAAGAAAAATAAGGAATAGAGAAAGAGAAAAAAGATTGCAGTGGGCGGTAAAAGAAGAAGAGAGAGGCAAGAGACGAAGAGAAGTAAAGAAAGAGGGAAGAGAGAAGAGAAGAAGAAGAAGAAGGTAAATGACATAATTATATTTTAACTATTTTTTAAAATTATCATTTTGTCCTTCTGCAGTTAAAATTAACGGACAAATTGTAACGGTGGATGGGAAAATATCATTATAAAACTTGGCAGGTGGGAAAGTGTCGTTAGGTGAAACCTTGGGTGGGAAAATGTTAACTCTTAATTAATGTATATAACAACTAGGTTAAGGAATTTAATCTAGATGTTTTTATTCTAATTTTAACAATTAACATTAAAAAGTAAGATTGTAATTCCATCATATTGTATTTGGTATGTGATTGTTTATGCTAAAATTCTAACTTAATATCTACATTATAATGTAATGTGAAACGCATGTGAACCAAAAAGGCAATGGATTTCTCATGAGTTAACGACTTTTTTCCACTCAAATAATAGTTTTATGACAATTTTCCACCCATAAACTTTTAAAATATTACTTTTCATCAAAAAAAAAAAATACATTTTCCGATTCGATGGCGAATGGAGGTGCAAATTCGGTCCATTATGTTAAGGTTTTTAAAGAGGGGAGGCCGATGAGTCTTTTGGTGGTTGAAAATTGAATTTTAGTGGTCGTAATTGGTTGGAATTTGATTTGGAAGGGGCGACTACGCAAACCATAATCGCTTTATTGTTGGCAATTGACAAGGTCGAGAGGAGTAAGGATTGGGGGGTTTTGGTTAGTGATGACGGGGAAGAGAATGATAGTGGTTTGGGATTGCAACGATGTCGGAATCAGCCAGAGATGGGTGGGGCATGTGGGAAAGTGTCATTTGGGTGGAAAAATGATAATTTAAAAGTCTATGGGTGTGAAAGGTAATTAAGCCATTATTTGGGTGGGAAAAAGTCGTTTACTCGGAATATCTTATTGGTCTACTTTAAATGGGATACGGGATATACTATTGACCATTGTATTTATCAATTGGTATAGCATTTTTGCACGCCATCTCTATCAAACAATTTGACATCTTCCAATTATTATGATGTAACACATGCAAGTGCCAGAATTCTAAATTGACCCAACTAGAATATAAAAATTGTGTTGAAATTAATTAAACTTATAAAAATGGTATTATTGAATCTCTTGATACTTATCCTTTTATGAGTTTATCATGGATTCGTAGGGAAAATATAGTCGTTTTATAGACCATTTAGTGTGACATTGTAAAATAATTTACCTTATATGAGTTAAAATAGCACATATTTCAAAGATCTTCGAAAGATTACAGAGATTCCAAAATCTTCAGACTAAATGACAACCAAAATACAAGAGGGAAGTGCAGAACGGGTCAGGGCCAAGTTAAGTTGACCCAAGCCCCTTTTACTAGCAAGGTTCAGCCCACTTTGTATACTTCAATTTGAAGAGTAGTATTATTAAATATCTCTTTCTAAACCTTATCATCTCCATTTTTTCGCCTGGTTAAGCATCCTTACATATAAATCCTGCATTTCTTCACAATCTATTTCACCTTCAATTTCATTCATAGTCTATCTCCACTACAATTTTTTATATGTAGTATCTTTATTCCAAACAACTTCAACTTCCATGAGAACTAAAAAAAATAAAGACTTTCCACAAAACAAATCAATCGGCAATGGATAAGTGTTAAAATAAATATTTTCTCCTCTTTTTTTGTTTTTGTTTTTCCTGTTGTTTGACTTACAAGTTTAATCAAGAGTTAAACTGAATTTCTTAAAGCAAACCTAAGATAAGAACGGTTAATTGGAGTATCCATTGTTGTTTTATTCTATTGTTTAATTCCATCTTCCGTCCCTTTAAAAAAAAAAAAAAAAAAAGTAAAATATCAAATTCCAAACTATTTTTCAGAAAGAAAAAAAATAAAGGTTTAAGAAATTTTTAAGATATGGGGTGTTCTAAAAGAACAAATGTCCACTCGCTTCGGATATCATTTCTACAGTTATTTCTTCAACATTGGTTATTCTCCACTCACTTCGGATATCGAAACACCTGTAAGCTGTAACATCATGAAAAGGAGAGAGAGAGAAATGACAATGGTTTTGAATGGAGTCGTGGCCGTCATGATTAACATACGTGACAGTTCATATAACACACAGTGGCTTAGAGTGAGCGACATGGAGAGGAAGTTTGCAGAACTGATATATCTAAATCGCTTAGTCAAATCCAAGTGTATAGTCTTAATACTGTTCTCACCATTTTGCACGTAAAAAATCTTCACCAATCAACCAAACTTGACCAAGAGAACTACCACTCTTTTAGTCTTTACCATCTGTGTTCAAAGATCGAAATTACAACAGTTCAATGTTCCTCAAAAACATTAATACCATTTCGTTCATGGTCAGATCTTGAATTTATTGTAGAAATGGATCAAATTAATGAAACCTTCCGGAAACTGCAATGAGAAAAAACAGACAGTTTCCATTATATATAGTCTTATTTGGGAATAAAGCCCATACTAATTAAAGGCAAAACCCTAGATCTTTGAATGTATGTAAGTTGATTGGGTCACAATTTTTTTTTTTTTTTTTTTTCTAAGGGTGTTGTTCATGAGTGATAGTTTAACTTATTTTTCTATCTCTGTGTTGAAAAATGAAATAGTATTTTTATTTATCCAACAAATGTTTAATGATTATATGATCTTGATTTTTTTTTTTAATGATATTTCTCACACAAAAACACAATTGAATGTCTAGCTTATGTATTACTTATTGAGATTATAGGAATATTAGGTAAAGGGTGTTCTAGGGTATTTCTAGCAATAATGAACTCTTTAGTTGAGGGATCTATATAGTCACTTAAATATTTTCAAATATTTCTATGAGAGGTCAATCCATCCATCAACTGTACTATTATTGTATGTAAAAGTTTTTCGGTATAAAATACAAAAAAAAAAATTTAAATTGCAGCTTCTCTAGGGACAAACCGATATTGGGTATTTTGGGTGTGTATATGAAGAGTATTCCAAATGAAAACTTGATGATTATACATATACAAGGGCGAAAGAAATTACCATAACAGTATTGGGCAAGAATCAAGCTGTTTAGATATCCTAAACCGGGCATGGCTGCTTCAGCTAAATTCCAAGTAGAAGTTGAAGAAAAAAATGCTTAAAATCAGCTTGGCTTACTTCAAATAGAAGCAAAGATTGAAGAAGAGGCAGAATTTATGAGAATGATATCACCTGAGTTGGATCATATGAGTTCACATTAAACCGTACGTAAACAGTCATTACATCAATCGGACACATGTGTGCATGTGATGCAATTAAAAACCTTTGGATTATTGTGCAATCAATTATCGAGATTTTGTTGCCATCGCGATTATGCAAAAGTGCTAGAACATAGAAGCATTTTATATTTGCTTTAAAAAGAAAAAAGGATATTACATTCGTCCGAAAGTACTTTTCAAAATATCCAACACCCATAACATAAGAGTCATTAAACTGAAAGCCTAAAAGTCTTAAGGCAAACCCTAGAAGATAAGAGAGAGAAGATGAAACTAAGACTCTAAGCACACCACCCATAGCTAGTCTCTTCCGCTTCCACACTTCTAAATCTGAAACCAAGAAAAACATTAACAATCTTATTTAGTAACCAAAACCTTGACAGTTCACACACAGTAAATTATAATAACGACATGAGCATAAATTGCTGTGTAAATTGAAAATCAGTTAATGGCTAAGAATTTACAATATCAAAGCTGTATAAATATATATAATTTTCAAAAGTTTTGACCCCTAAATAACAATGTTTCTAGTTCTAAACAATTCTTTGACAACCATTAATAATAGTGGAGAAAATGGGACAATATATAAATTAGAGAGGGCTTAAGTTCGCACCAGATAGTAAAATGCGCCATGATGGAGGGACTGCAGTGTGACACCCCACTCGTTGGTGAGAACAGGCTGACCAGAGGAGTTAAGCAAGACAGCGTCTTCACCAAAAGCCTCACGCACATTGAAGGGTCCCATGGACACTTCAAAAGCCACATCGTTGATGAACACCGTTGATCTTGCCGTTGCAGCACCGGCTGGGGCCACTGGACTAGCTGATTCTTCAAGACCTGCCAACACAGAATAATTTCTCCGTTTTGTGTATGTAAATTATTTACAAGAGCAAAGCAATAGTCAATCCATGCACACGTCCATCTAGACACTGATCGCAGAATATTGTGGGCCTATAAAGACAAACTCTCTTTCATAAATTTCCATATATGACAATTTTATATACGAGTGCTCTCGTACCAAAAAAATTGATACATCAACATCAATCACGTCTATGAATTCTTAGCGACCCTACTCGACGGGTATACTGCTCGTGGTAGATTATGTAAAATGCAAGGTCAAACATATTAAAAGATTTGGCCTTTACTTTGGAACATTTAAAACTTATAATTACATACATTTGAGGTGTATCATGTATGAATGTGATAAAATGTGAAAATCAAGAAGTTTGAGTGAAGGAAAAAGCTCATACCTTGAATTTGGTTGATGGTAGATGGAACAGTAGCAGTAGCGGTGGTGTCAGGAAGAGGAGAGGGAGCAATACTTAGAGTACTAGGAAGAGTGGTCATAGAGTAATTGAGATGTTGTTGGATCTTCATTGTCTCTTCTTGCTCTTTCTTTGCAGTTCCATGGTTCATTATCTCACTAAGCAAAAGACTAGTGCAAGGCCCAAGTTGTGGACGGTGAACCTGAACCACATTTGAAAGCTCAGGGAAGCCAAACCCTTGTGTTAAACTTGTTCCTTCAACAGTCTGTTGATTTGGAAAGAAAAAGGGTTCGGTCAAGAACTCGTTATGAGCTCGAAAATAGGTCTGGTTCACTGATCCAGTTGAAGAAGCACTGGACACATCGACACCATTTGGAGAGCTCAAAGAGAGAGTCTTACTAGACCCTTTTGGAGAGGATTTCTCAGAAGAAGACGATGAAGAAGAAGGAGCTATAATATTAGAGGCAACGGAGGTGATTTGAGGATTTTGATTGGTTTGTTGGGATTGTTTTGAATTTTGGAGGTGGCGAAGCTTGTGTTTGCTTCTTGACTTTCTATTTTGGAACCAGTAAAATACATTGGCGTCGCCTACTTGCCCATACTCTTGTAATTGAGCTCTGATTCTTCTTATCTCGTCCCTTGGAGGGTTAACCATGCCAGAGTTGAAGATCGCTTCCAATATGCGGATCTGCTCAGGTTTTGGGTTCCATCTTGGCTTTGGCTCTGGACTACGTTCTTCACATCCAGGAACTGTTCAAAAGAAACTTAAAAGATGAATTATAACCAATTATCAGAAGACATAATTTACAAGAAATATTTTTTGAGACTAGCCCTTTTGTATGGGTTCGAAAAGAGCTGAAATGATATTTACAGTAATATTTACAATGCTGTGTAATTACCTGTAGTGTAAGGTGGTCGGTGGCAACCATTTGAGATGAGATTTGGGTTGATATCATGCTGCCATTGGTGAGGGTGAGTGTTGCAGGGCTTGGACTTGAACATACTAGGCCAGTTTCTGTTTGATGAAGCCATGATGATGACGGTGATCGATGATGATAGAAGCCAAAAATCTAAGGTGAATATCACAGTAACCAACCAAACAAATGACCCCTTTTGTTGCTCTAGTTTTTGATACTGAATCCTTTATGCAGACATGTCATCTCTTCTTATAGCCTCCTCAGCTACCCTGTATACATTTTATTTTAATCAATAAATTATCAGTACTTCCCAACTTCCTATGAAAATAAAATTAAATCAATTATATATATATATATTAAGAGGCAAACTTAATTAATTTATGCATATAAAATACAGAAAACCTACAACAGGAATCGCCTGTCGAAAGATAAACAAGGAAACGAAATAAATAAAAAGGGAAGATGGAAAGTACTCTCCCATCCCTTCCTTACAGTTTTGCATTAAAACTGAAATACTTCAGCTCTACTCAAAGTACAAGCTAATTCCCCCGGACGAGAAGCAAAGAAAGCAAGGAAAAGAATACATGCTGGAGCTTAAATAGAATCTTCATCAGAGTTGACAGAGCTCTTAATGAAAAGAGAAGTGAATAGTTTTGTGACACCAAAGTGTGGACAGGGAGAGAGAGAGAGAGAGAGAAAGAGATTGGGTGTTATAATGTTTATGTAGCTTTAGAGAAATGGGTTGTTCTGATCAGTTTGTCTCTTTCCATTTCGTCATAGCTAATTTCTTTTTCCAGTTTTCAATGGAGAGGATTCTCTTCCTCAATTTGGTTTGCTTGCAGTGTATTAATGGAATGATGAATGGGGTAGATATAAGTGTGGGATTATTCTAATGGAAAAGGTTGTTGCAGAAATAAATAGGGGGCGAGGTCTGTTTGAAAGTCAAGAAGGGCTTATAGGATTTGATTGGAAAGCGGTGGTGGGATAGTAATTGCAACTACTGGATTATTTTGGGCAAAGTAAGGTGGGTTTTGAATTGACTCGAGGGCCTTTATTTATTACATTCATTTCAACTTATTTTCCAAAAATTTCATTTACTACATACTTATCTTATCTAGCTACGTTTCTTCCAAGTTACATAACTCTAACCTAACTAAAGAGATGCACATTAAACCAACAAATTTATATCAACAGAATATAAGTAATTAAAATTAGCTTTCAAAATGCTTTCACGCAACTCAAATATTGGATGTATAACTTGACGAAGCATACTATAAAATGCATGTAAAATTTTAATTAAGCCTAAAAATTGACTCTATCGTGAAGCCATCTTACAATTAATACCTTTATATATGTAAGATAAGGTTCTCAAACTGTCGCATAATATAAAAAAAAAAAATCATTTCTTAGCCCATTCTCCGAAGTGAACTCGTTTTTCCATTTCTTTTATTAAGTTTTATCCATGTTAAAGAGTTTGGCAGAGGTCATAATAATCAATTGACATTCACTTATCTGGATTTGGCAAATAAAACTTGACGTTCATAACATAAAAACCAAAGGAGACCAAAGGACCTGGCCTTACAGATCAAAAACCAAAAACCAAAAGGAGAGATGTGAACGTAAAAAGAGAATACCAAATTAATAAGACTTTAGTTTTACTGTTTCGCGCATGATGTCAATTAATTACTTTCCATGAACTTAATGGCAACCATATGATATGACAAAAACGTAATTGACTTAGTAGTGATTTGGTGAGATACATTGCTTTTTGCAATCCTTAATTCTATCTGCGATTTGCATTAATTTGTTGATTCAAATTCAATCCGTGAAGCACTGATTTCTTAATTACTGCTGATTTGCTCACGGATCGTCTATGAGATCTGCACATTATAACTTCATCTACACCACGCTTCAGAATATACTTGAAGTAGTTTATAATGTATAAGTGTTTGACGCTTTCGTCCTAATTGAACCAACAACTCTTCCCGTACGTCTTCCTATTAACTGGTGCTGCTGGAATGAATTAAATTGTGCGAACCCTAACTTTAATTGATTACTACAGCTAGGGCTCACTCTAGTTGTCATAGCATCTTGTAAATTTCGCCAAAAAACGATTGTACAAATTCATTGCGCTCGTAAAAAATTTTGTGAGCAAGTATGATAGAAGATCTTAATTGAATACATCACACATGGGTTCTATACATGAAAAGTCAAGCTAGTAGGAGAATCGGTTGAGTTGAGGTTATGAATGCAATGATGGGTATCAGGAAAAACTTCTTCTAACTGTCCTTTGATAGTTTGATTTCTACATTGCTCTAAACCTTGTTTTAAGTTCCATTCACACTACTTCTTTGGACCTTTAAAAAGTAGTTATTGTTTTTGTTTAGTCTTCCATAAATAACACATGCCTAGCTATATATGGTAGAGATTTATACACCTAAATAGAGAGCTAATGTAATGAATTTTATTCATCTAAATATTAAAAAAAAACTATTACAAATTTAAAAATAATCTAAAATACCTCATAAATAATGAGGAAAAAACGAACTACCTTAAAAACAAGGAAATCAAAGTAGACGTGAGAGCCTATATTAATGAGCTTCGCTGCCACATTATTTATTTATTTTTTTTGGTGACTGAGGGTGTTCAAGTTAGCTTGCACGCATCTCAACTAATTTTTTAGGGTTTTGAGGTTGATGACCGGATAAATTCCTTCAGTGACCACTTCTATTAGTGTTTGTGAGGACTCGAATTCAGAAATCCATGCTAAACTCTTTTGTTCTTTTATCATTAGATCACCCAATGGTGATTAGCCGCCGCATTATAAAAATTAAGCATAGTGACAAGAAAAATATATACACAAAAACTGCAATTTGCAATTTAGCCAAAGATTACAAATTTTGCGGTGAATGCTATCATAAGTTGAATTCAACAGACAAGAAATTGAGGTCACTTAATCACTTTCAATCTATATAAAAGAATAACCCTTTTTGCAATGCAAGATAAATAGCTAAAAATAATTGTCCTCATCTAAACAAAGAAAGCAGAACGAAACCCAAACTATTTGCAAAACGGTATGTATTAGTTTTATAACCTAATGGAAAGAAAAAGTATGCCATATAACCTCAATGCAAGATCTTTAAAATGATTTTTTTATATGGTAGAATTTTTATTTATGAGTCTTATAATTCATTATGTATCCATCATGTTGTAGGGTAGGATCTCTGTACATGTCCGTTTCATCATGAAACTCATCATATACGAAGGAAACATAGAAAGATCGTTTGATTGACCAATCCTTTTGGGCAGCTGGAACATTAATATTGGCATGAGAGCAATAAATGAAGGGTGTTATAGGGTAACTTTTTATGAGATGATCTAACGTAACACATACATAATAACTTTCTGTTGCTTATAGCTTATAATTGAAGAAAATTTCGTAAAGAATGAATTTGAAATTAAATGGAAGCTGCAAATAAAGTCAGAGAAATAGGGAAACTTGTTTGGTGTTTGGTTTGGCAAAGAGACAGTACAGTTTGAATTCACTATTGGGTTGGGGGGAAAGATGACTGAAGCAACTGAGACCAAGAGATACCAAAGCAAATACAAATTAGCAAGTCTATCTCATTTCCCCATGCAAGAAGAGCAAAGGAAAGAAATATAAGAGTTAGAAGAAAAGGAGTAAATGTTTGGTCTAAGTGGTGTCGGTACCATTCCGACATGCGAACCTCAAACGAAACTCGAGTGCGTGACATCTCATCTCTCCCTCAATTATTCAAATCCCCTTCTTTATGACCCTCAATCTGAAGGTTTCAGTCTTGCAGATTGTTGTTAGTATAATAATATAATATAATGCCACAGTAAACGACTTTTTTCCACTCAAGGTTTGCCGATAATTTTTCACCTAAAATCTTTTAAAATATCACTTTCAAATCTAAAGTTTATATTATATTAGTATTTAAAATATATTTCACTTTCTCAATTGATGTTTAAAAAAATTATTAGGAGCCAGAATAAGAGAGATTGATTGAATATTTATTATCATAATTAACTAAAAATCAACTAAAAACATAAAACTTTAATTTTATGATAATTGACAGTCAACGAGAAGTTAAGTATCGAACTAGAAAGAGTTTTATAGAGAAAAGATTAAAAATTAAAATGGTGGTAATGAGAAAAATTTTTATCATTAAAACCGATTTGAATTAATTTTGGATATTAAGAGAATATAAATTTTAAGCGAAAAAATTAAAAAAGTGATATTTTAAAATTGATAGGGTGAAAATATGTGATTAAGGCGAACCTTGCGTGGGAAAAAGTCCTTTATAATGCTAACTTAATTAAGCTACATATATATTCATTTTTCATTAGTTTATTTGTTGAAGGGCAGATGTAATTAAATTCTGACACAAGAAACATGGGACCATGGCTGATCTTTTCTATAAACCAAATGCTCAGTCTCAGAGTTTTCTCTCTCTATTTCTTTCTTTCTTTTTCAATTTATTTTCTCGGGTGAAATGGAAGAGACAGACAGGACGTGAGCAGAAAAAGTGCGGAATACGATCCCATCAAAAGTCTTGTGAACTGAAGTGGACTTGTGGTAATGTACTTGTTAGTAAAGTGTTTTGGCTTTCTGCAAACGTGTGTACGCTTGTTAATTATGGCGAACTCAGTGAGGCCATACCTTACCTTCATCTTTCTATAACTCTATCTCAATATCTCTCCACCACTTTAAAGTTAAAGAGATCTCTGCTCTTCTGATCTGATGGATCTTCTGTTCCTCTGTGTAGACGTACTAATAATATTTATTAACCCTTTTACTATTTTCGTGTCAAATTCCCTATCTTAATCATCTTTTCTTTTCCGTTCCTACCAATTTGTCTGGAACAATTTCGATATGTATATTAACTCTCTACAAACACCACTATAACTCTACGCTTTATCATACTTCCCTTTAACCATTCTCTTTTTTTTTCTTCCTATCCAGTAATCTATTACTGTATTAATAATTAACATATCACTACGGTTCATCTAGCACATACCAATTCAATTTTAACTTCAATGGGTGCCCGATAGCTCCCGCAATGTTATGTTTCTTCATACATTTTTATCAGGATTCTTTAGCACCAGCTTAATTCTTAGCTTAAGAACGTATAAAATGATAAAAAAAAAAAAATTTAAAAAGACATAAAAAAAAAAATTTAAAAACAACCAAAAAAAAAAGAAAACAAAAAAAAAAAAAAAAAAAAAAAAAAAAAAAAAAAAAAAAAAAAAAAAAATAAATAAAAGTAATTTAACTTGATTCATCCAATTAACAGGTTACGTCCATCAAAATTAATATTATTATAATACTATCTCACATCTTTCGTTACAATAAATATAATTTACTCTATCATACTTATATAAGAGAAAAATAAGTTTATATACTAGATTTAAAGTGTAAAACATAATATTACAATGATCTCGTTTTCCTAAACCCAAACCCAATTAGGAATTAATGACCCCCGAATATGTTTGTGTGACTTTTTATTGTTGAAGTGGTTGACAACCTCCAATAAATATTAACTAATTAAACTGATTAGGAAACTTACCTTCAACCAATGTACTGATATACATAATATTCAACTATATATATATGTGCGTGTGTGTGTGTGTGTGAGTGTGTGTGTCAAAAAAACATGAACTAATGTACATATATAACTAGATATTGTTGACTATTTTCAGAACCAGTATGGCGAATTAATTACCTCCGGTTACTAATATTGAATTTCTATGCTTTTTGTGGTGTTTAGTAACTAGGGATGATTATATATATAGAATCAAACAATTTATTTCTTTAATTTATTATGGTTAAAAGCCCTCCATATCTAACAAACCCAAAAGAAAAGTAAGGGAAAAAAAAAAAACACCTTAATTCTATTTTTTTGATGACCGCTTGACCAAGATGTTCGAACCAGCTTACGTGCACCTAAACTAATCCCTCGAGACTCTGAAACTGTCGTCTGGTAAGAACTTCAGGTACCACCCTTATTAGCAATCAATGAAGAACTCAAACTCAAAACCATTTAAATAATACATTCAATAGTCTTTATCGAAACATTTGATCATTTAGAGATTGGTTAAAAAACCTTAATTACTGTAGGCATAATATTATTATGAAATCCTTGTGTCCGTTATTGAATTAATATTATCGTTGACCATGTTTAGTCTCACTCTTAAATTGCCCTATCTCACTGGTTCTATATAAAACAAAGCTAGAATTTTGTAGAAACTTTTTTTTTTCTCCTGTGTTCTCTAGTAGATTACGCATGACATCACTGAACAGCATTTCGGTGTACTGTCTCTAGCTACCAACACCATTCAGACATTGTTCCAGTTGTAAAAGAAAAACTCTTAACAAAGTTCTTATTTATTGATTTATTTTTGAAAGAATTGAACTAGCGTTGCACATGATCTCAATAAATGTTGGTAATTACCTAAGCAAACATGAAATAAGTATGTGTGTGTGTCTTGAGCTTGAAATGCGCTAAACAGCAGTCACTAAATGCAAACGTGCATGTAGTAAATACGCAACATGCGAAGATTAAATGCATGAATTTGGGGGCCACATGCAAACCTTAATAAAATATTGCCATTTTTTATTCAAGTTTTGAAACACCAAAACGTATTTAGATTTATATCTTTTGTTTTGGCACAGAAAAAAATAGAGAGAAGCTTTAGAATTTGAAGGTTTGTTTGGTTTTTTTTATGGCATCCATTTGAAGCTACATGGATTCTGCATTTGTGAAACTGAAAGCTATCAATTGATTTCAACAACGTCTGGGATCGATAATCCTAATCCTATGATTGAATTTTACGTTGTTGGAAAATCTATATACATCTCATTGGTGTTGATCCACTCTTCAAACACCTATATGTATACATCATTATTAACTTCTCTCTCTCTCTCTCTCTTTCAAATGCTTCTTAGTATCAATGCGGCAATGACTAAATGTTAATTTTGATTAAAAAGAGAAGTTTCACTATGTATTGCATGATGCATATTGTATATGGTAAACTCCTACATTTATATTGTCACCGCTAATGTCCCTTTTCCAGTAGTGAACACATCCTGTTGAAGGTTTTTTTTTTTGTTTTTTTGTTTTTTGGTTTTTTTGTTTTTTATGATTGAAGGTGTTCGTGCCAATTTACGCATACATCGACTAATTTCTCGAGACCTTGAAGTTAATGATCAGATAAACCCTCTAATGGTCACCCCTATTAGCAACTGAGAGGAATAGAACTCAAGACCTCTTGAGTAATATACCCAAGAGTCCCTATCGCTCTATTCGGTCACTCAGGGTGCTTTATTGAAGGGTATTTGGTTCTAAGTAAAAAAGTCTATAATCAAATAAAGTCAAAACAATATCTTGTGCTACAGGCAGCAGTGATAAACCTTCAATATGATATATATAAAACCAGATAACTTGTGGAAAAACTTCCTTTCAAATAATTTTACAAACTATTTGTTGGTCAGTGATGTATATTCACTCTTGAAACTTGAAAGTGTGAAAACGACTAAATAATTTTGGGTACATCACTTACTGAAGATAGACTGAACTTTTAATTTGATCGATTTCCACTCCCTACTCTGCAATAGATCATAAAAGAAAGTACTAATTAATCTATGTTTTAATTTAATCCGCGAATCACGGATACATCCTCATGGGAAATTGTAGGCTACATAAGTTGAAAAAGGCATTAGTCAAACTTCCTTCCTTCAAATTACAGATTAGTTAATTTTGCATTGACCAACAAATTAATTAACTACACATTTATAAATTTATATTATTCTAAGAGAAAACTTTGCTCGAACGACTAGATATTGTATTGGGATACTAAAGCAAAGTTGAAAACTGGGAATGTCAAATGCCAAGATGCTTAGCCTATTAATTAGAAGAAATGTATGTTTGGTCCTTAAAATTATTATTATTAGAGTAAACCACATATTCCCACTTGAGGTTTAGCAAAATCTCAAGTTAAAATCATTGGTTGCATTTATTATAGATTCCCACCCTTAAACAAAAATCATTAGTGGCTGTTGGAGGTAGTGAAAAACAATCGACAAGTGAAGATATGAGTTTTGTAGAAGAGATTGTAGGGAGTCTAACAGTGGTCTTGGAAGTGATTTTGAACCTCGAAATCAGTCCAAAAAAACTAAAAACCGTCAATTTGGACATTACTAATGTGAGCAGTTTTTTGCTAATATGAGTCAGTCTTATTCCAAAGAAAGCTTCGATGCACTTTAGCGTGCTAACATGCATTGTGCTATAGTGAAAAATTGAGAATTGATTAAAATAATGAAAATGACGTTACTTTAAGGATGCCAATCTAGAATAAATACAACCAGAAGTATCAATTTGGGATTTCACTAAAACTTAGGTGAGAATATATTGTTTTCTCTTATTAGAAATTATTATTATTAGAAGATTCACATATATTCCCAGTGATTGCCACAGAATCTTGAAGGGGGGAACAAAAAGAGGGTTCTTATTTCACATTGTCGTTAGATTTGAGATTAAAGGAGTGGAAGGCGCAATTAAGAAAAGGATTACTATAAATAGGTCGATAATTCTGAAAAGCTGCTCGAGGAAATGGCTCCAGTGTTCAAGGTTATATACTTTGTATTTGTACATGAACTTCAAAGCATGCTACTCCTTGAATAAACAAAAACATATAAATAAATAAAAAAAAAAAAAGTCAGTTGTAACGGCCTTCAAGAACTATGACTTTTTGTTATTGACTAATTAGTGTGCATTGGTTAAAGAAACAATGGAAAAAAACCATCTATTGCATGCTCTGGCTGTTTGACAATTTGGGGGCAAATTAAAGTACTGTGATTGGTTTTCTGATCGTTGAACAAGGAATCCAAACAACTGTTGGGGTCAACATTTTTGAACTTGTAATTGAGGTTGGTCATAGGCACAATAATTCCGCTTATTATGGCCCATTAAGCTGAATTTAGGTAGGCCCAACTATTAATCAATGGGATGACCCATTGGAATGACACAGCTTTAACTGGTGGAGGGACATTATCTAGCAGTCCCACTCTAGAGTTATTCATATCAGTTTATGCATACCTCAATTAATTCACAACCATCGTGGTTTATAGGTAAATCATGAACAAATATATTACCTTTATGCTCAACAGGGGAATCCAACCTGAAACTGTGAGTTAAACCATTTGTAGCCCCCTTGATTTGCTATTATCGTTAGGTTACCTATGGATGGGTCGATGGCACTTTGGACGATAATTCTGAAAGTAATTAGTATTTTGAATTTTGAAGTTATATAATGCTGCTTTGTTTAAAATAATCAGGATTTCGGGTCAGCTTGGTGCAAAGACCAACAGATCTTTTACCCCTTTTTGTTGATATAATTGAAATCCAAAGAGCACAACCGATTTTAAACTCCATATCTAAAATTAACAAAGAGGTAGCTTTATACTGAGTTTTTTTTTATGTTCCTTACTCTTATGTTTAGAAAGGTTTACAAGTTTTATTAGGTTTAAATAACACTAATCTTCAGGGAGGTTTAGACTTCAGAATGCTCTTAACTGTGCCTAGGCGAAGTTCAGAATATGCATGTTTTTTATATGCAGATGTGAATTTGTACGTTCTTTATATTGTATGTTTCATTTCTTGAAGATGATCTTTAATATTCTATCTGTACTTGAAATGGTATTTTTTTTTTTTTTATTTTATGACCCAGGGTGTTCGAATCAATTTACGTGTACCTTAACTAATTACTCAGGACGTTGGAACTATTAACCGGATAAGAGATCTAATGGCTACCCTTATTAGCAACTGAAGAGGGACTTGAATTCTAAGAAACTCAAAACCTCTTAAGTAATATACCTTAGAGTTCCTATCGAACCACTCGACCACCCAGAGATAATTAGAAAATGAAATTAATGCAGCTGTTGGGAAATTAAATCAATGAAATGGAATATAACCATACACAGAGAGAATGCCAAATTGGTATCAGTAATTGCACACAAAGATAAAATGAAATATACTGCAAATACTAAAATTCATTTAGCAGCATATATAACAAAATCTAACGATCTCGGCGTGAAGGAGATCTTCCATGGCTTCAAATAGTATTTATGAGAAATATAACCCAAAAAAAAAAAAATGTGATATACAATCCAATTGTGAAACAATTTGAAAGGAAGGCAATTCGACAGTATTTAAAATCTTAAAGGAAAGAACACGTCCGCTGCTTGCGGGGCTTTTTCTTTGGCTTTGGGGGCCGCAAAGCAACCTTTATTGCAGCATCAAACACAGCCTTCACATTCTGCAATACCACAACAACAGTAATACAGATTACGCAACAAAAAATTCTCTTATGAAAACTCATATAAAGATTTATTGTGCGAATTTTGGGAACAGAGAAGCTAGATGAAGTTTTGGGTTTGGATACCTGCTGAGTTTTGGAACTGCATTCTATGTAAGTGGCAGCGCCAATCATCTTCTTCAATTCCTCTCCCTGTTCAATCGTCTCGCCATTAAGCAATTAAAACATTATATTAACGTAACCCTATTCACATTTGGTAATTATACTATTTAATTACTTGGATTTGTGCATCTTAAATGCAGGGATAATATGTACCTGAGCTGTTGTTATAGGCGCTGATCCTGGATGATCGCTCAAGTACTGCTTGTCGTCGCGTAAATCTACACTTTAAGATATGTTAATTAAGTGTTCCAGTTATAATTAGGCAAAAGTTGATTTGTTAATGTTGATTCAGACTAAATTATATGGTTTGTGGATGAAAATTAACAAATGGTTACCTAGTTTTGTCCCTACAAGCACAATGGGTACGTTGGGAGCGTAATGCCTTAGCTCAGGAATCCACTGTCAGCCATCAACAATGATACATGTCCAAGGAAGATAAATTGGGGAAAATTGAATATATTGAATTAAAAAAGAAAAAAAATTATGGAAAAAGAAGAAACAAGGACCTTCTTATGGATGTTTTCATAACTGGCCTTGCTGACGAGAGAAAAGGCCAACAAAAACACATCAGCTCCTCTATAACTCAGAGGCCTCAGCCTGTTGTAATCCTCTTGTCCTGTGATTAAAATCAAACACCCATATTAACAAAATCATCCGACATTAATTAATGAAAACATATATATAGTTTTAAAGTTAATCACCTGCAGTGTCCCATAGGCCGAGATTGACTGTACTACCATCCACCACGACGTTGGCACTGAAGTTATCAAACACAGTTGGAACATAATCCTGTAAACCAGAAAGAAAAAATGAAAAAAGAAAAGAGAACTCCTTTGATTATGATGATTGATAATAATCAGGATCATCATACAATTAAAGAGAAAATCATACCGTTGGAAAGGTATTGCTAGTGTAGGAAATGAGCATACATGTCTTCCCTACAGCTCCATCCCCTACAGTCACACACTTGATAAATCTTGCTGTACTCATATTAATTCTTCTTCTTCAGCAAAAGAAGATGATAATTAAGGAAGAAGAAGAGCATGAAAGAAATGAAATGACAAGGTAGGTTTTAAGAAAGTTAGCTATAGGTATCAACAACTGCCACTTGAGCTATAACTCTATATCAAAAATAGAATGATTGAGCTATGTGTTTTCTTTTCTTTAGGTGCAAGGCCAAAGGAAGAATTGGGAAACAAAGTAGGTTTGGTGCTGGTGTTAGTTGGTTTAAGTGTTGGGGAAGGGAGGAAGTGAATGATGAAATTTTAAATAGTAAACGACTTTTTCCCACCCAAGGTTTGCCTTAATAACACTTTCCCATCCAAAAGTTTCAAAATATTAATTTACTACACAAAGTTTATATTTCGACCAATCATCGGCCGATTCTAACATCGTTATGACCCCATATCACCACCATTCTCTTCTTCAACCATCACTTACCAAAACCCCTCAAACCTTGCTACCGCCGACCTTGTCAATCACCGTCAATCGAGTGATTTATGGAGTGTGCAATTGCCCCTCTCAAGTTAGATTTCGACCAATCCTGACTATCAAAATCTAACTTGCCACCACCAAAAGACTTATTGGCCTCTCTTATTCAAAATCCTCAATAGTCTAGACCAAGTTTGCTCTTTATTTGTTGCCGAATCAAAAAGTGTATTCTGGGTGGTAAACGAAATATAAACTTTGGATAGTAAATTAGTATTTTGAAACTTTTTAGGTGGGAAAGTGTTATTAAGACAAACCTTGGGTGGGAAAAAGTCGTTTATTCCAATTTTAAATAAAGGAACATGGATTGCTTCATTAACCAATACACTATGATGGAATTAGAGGAATATAATTCTAAGTATTTAAAAAGTTGTAAACCTAAACCTACTAAAAGTGTTTTAATGGGTGTCACCATTATTATTATTGGTTGGTTTTGTGCTTGTCTGGGCTCCTCTCAGATTAGCATTGTTGTGGCCCCGCTCATCACATCATTATTATTAAAAATGGTTGTATTCAGTGTAAGTAGATCTACTTGAGGTACCTGTTTTACCTATATAATACAATGCAAGTGGACGACGTGAGCTGGGCTCACATTAAGAGAAAAAGCCCAAACGGCAAAACGGAGGCCAAATAATTTCCGTCCGAGAAAATGAGGATGTCATTGTTGGCACGTTGACTTCTAAGAAGTAAAAAGTTTGTCATTATATTTAAAATATTTTCTATAATTCAGTGATTTTACAAGATGTAATTTATATAAAATAAAAATACTTCTAATAAATTTATGACATGTTTGGTAGACTATTTGAAAAATATTATTCTGAAAATGGGTTTTAAGTTGAGTTGAGTTGAGTTGAATTAAATTGAATTGGATCAGATTCTGAAAATGTGTTTGGTAAAATATCTAAAAAGTATATCAGAGTTTGATACAATGTTGAATGGTAATTTGGTACATTTTTTTAAAAAAGTTTTTAAGACAAAATAGGTTTTTGGTACATTTTCTGAAAATATTTTGATTATTTTCTAACCCCTTACATTTGTTAATTTAGCTAAACACACCCATAATAAAAAGTTTAAATATTAACTAAAACATTCCAGCCACCAAAGAGGACAACTGTCGGCCACCACTGTTAGACAAAGCCTGCAGTAGTCGAAACGGTGGACGACTAGTTGGATCTGGTCGATCATGCATCGATAAATATGACCCTTTTGGCCAGATCCATAATGGATCTGACCGAAAATGGCTAGATCTATGACTATAATTTGGGCCTTGACAACCAGATTCTCGCTGTTGTTAAAGACCAAGATTTGGCCATCATCAACGGCTAGCTTTCAACCAGAATCTAGTCGTCAACGGCTAGGTCTCTAGCCATAAATGACCAAATCCATGGTGGATTTGGCCGGAAATGACCATATCGATGCACAATCGGTCGTGCGTCATTTCGGTCATGTCGACCAACAGTAGTGGTCTTGAGTAGATTAATTTTCATATTAGAAGAAGAGAAAAATAAGAGAGGGAACATTAGAGGAAGGAGAGAAAGCAAAATGTTTTTAGTTGAATAAATTTGGAAAAATATTTTTAGTTTAATATAGCTGGATAATATGAAAACAAGTTCCATCCTTTTTTCATTTTTAGACAAAAAATCTTATTTGAGTTAGATTAATTTTCAGATTGAATTCGTCTAATAAGCAAACAAACATATATCCTATGTTTTTAATCCAAATAGGATAATAGAATAATAAACATTCAGGGGCTTAAGTATTATAATTGATATTATGTGACACTTGTCTAAAATAGACTATTACTACTTCAAGTGCGAATTGAATTTGTTTGCTTTTACTCTAATCCTAGATAACTTTGCGTTCAAAATCTAAATAATCTAATTTAATTGATTATACACAAACTATTAAACTCAAAGTCTTGAAATTAATCCAACGGCTGCAATTTGCTTAATGGCTTCCGGGTGCATGTAGAAATAAACTTGGTGAACATAAGATTGGCAGGACATATATGATTGACTTTTACTCGTATTGGTATTTGAATCTAGGTAGAATTACATATTTATACAAAAACCTTATTAAAACCCTGAATTTTAGAGGCATAAATATAGTGAACGGCTTTCCTCCCCTCTTCTTCGATCTCCTCGTATATTTCTTTCAAGAGTACGGTTTTTTCCTCTACTAATTGCTACCGTTTTATTCAGACTTTCTTCTTTAGTATATTTTTTCTTCCGGAAATTCATCCGCAAAACATGTTTTCAGGCAGCACGGGACAGTCTAGCAATAGCAATAGTTATAATCGCCATGCATGTGCAGCATGCAAGCATCAAAGAAAAAAGTGCTACCCGGGATTGTGTGTACTGGCACCATTCTTTCCGGCGAACAAGCCCGAAGAGTTCAAAGCAATTCACAAGGTGTTTGGTGTAAAAAATTTAGCAAAGATGTTAAGTTGTCTTGACGAACGAGACCGTCGGGTGGCGGTTTTGTCCTACGTATGGGAAGCAAAGCTATGGATGGAAGACCCAGTTAATGGACCACTAGGACATTATAATAGGCTAAACCAAGAGCTTCAGCATGTGAAACATATAAACAGATTACTCATACAGCAAATTCAACTGCAGAGCTCACCGCACATGTCCGGAATAGGGCCTCAGGACTATGTTACTAGTCAGGGAAGACAACCTATGTGTAATATAACCAGCAACCCAGATGTTATTTCATCTAATTGTCATTGTAGCGTTCAAAACAGTTATGCAACTGATGTGCAGAAAGAAGAGTGTAAAGGCCAAGGAACGACTAGTATTCCAACTCCTCAGAGTACAATTGTCCAGGGACAAGAGAGATTAAGCCAAGGAAGAGATGTTACTTTGGCTCACCCAGCATATGAGAGGGGAGAAAGAAATACAGTACTCGATGGCGGTAGTTCTTCTGCCAATTTTGGTTCTATTCGACCTGTCGAACAACAAACAACAAATTCACATAGCAGAGCTCCTGATTATCAAAGGACGACAAATCACCATGGAAGAGATCAAAGTGGTCATAACAGTGGTAGTTTTTGGCCAGAACAACAAAGAGGAAGAGGTCAAATTGCATCAAATTATGTTGATTCATTACAAAAGTTTAGCCAAAATATTTTCTCCTCTTGTTGGGATAATTGTGTAAACATTGATGGCTTTACCGATCAACAACCACAGGATTTTCCGAACAATAATCAGATTGGCTACTTCAATGTTCAAGGTAAACACAACACTTTGTTTTGGTATGTTTTTCTTAATTTGTCGTAACAAAGAAAATTAATCATATAAAATTTGCTTTGCCATCGGACTAAAACAGATTTTCTTTAAATTGAATTTGAATGAACCATAGATATGGGATTACTTAGTAGAGTCTTATCATTTAATTAAGGGAAACATGGATCTAGAATTGGATAATTTGGACGAGTGTATAGTGCTATGTCTAAGTACAAATTTTCATATGTAGTAATATATAATTGGTTGCAGATTCAAAGATGATAGATTTTACAGGTTGATCTCAACTTGAGGTATTATTATTCTCAAAATTTTATTAAGATTCATGTGAAATAAAAGAACTGCTTAATCTTATCGTATAGAAATAATATAAGCAGTCAAGCTATTTTTTTGCTCAATTTTGGAATTAAATTGATTTTTTAAATGTTTTTGTTATATGTAGTTTTGCAAAAGATAATATCGTGTAAGAGGAAATCCATATATTCTTTTAGGTGTTGAAAACTTATGTAAATCTATTTTAATCTTTATTTTTTTTATTTATTGTAGATCAAAATAATCAATTGAGACCTTACGATGGAGAAGGATCGAACACAAGATGAACATATATTAGTTTTCTTATATAGAATTATACTTTATCAATTATACATACATTGTACAGTATCATATGAGAAGATGCCCACATTCTCCCTATGATGATATATACTGTATTTATAGTTTTTAATTACTAAATTAACCTATTTTAATTCGGGGTTGAATCGAAAAAATACAAACTTTTCAAGGTTTTTTTGTGAACACTCTTTCACAATATTGTGGAGAATTTGTCGGTCAATTGCAGTGAACACCCAATCTTATTTCCTCAAATTCACATCTTCCTTGCCCATCTTTCAGGAGATAAAACATCAAAACACCCATCTTTAACCCAAATAAACTAATTTCTGTTCCATTAATCTAATCTGATTTACAAAACCAAAACTTAATTTCTTAAGCATGCTCATACTACATATCAATTAATAATTTTTAAGATTCAAAATAGCATTGAAAAAATGAGGAATTATTTATTGTGTGTAAGGTGAAAAATGAGGAAAGTTCTCATTTTGCTTTCAATTTTTCTATGGCTCTAAAGTTGAAACCAAATTGAGATGAAGGGTCTTCAGCTGTTCCGCAAGACCCTTAGAAAATTGGTCATTTTCAATATTCACACCCTTTAAAAGGTTCATTTTGTTAGAGTTGTTGACCATTTCAATGATAATGGGTCACGTCAGTGATTTGGGCTTATTCTATAAAGAGCCGTTCAAAGATTTTTTTTAAGTTATAAATTTCTAATTGGATTTGGGCTTAAGAAATAAAATCCTTGTAATATTAGGTTTTATCTTTTAAACCTAGTATATAAATTTCTTTTTCTCTTGTATGTGAGTGATAGTAAATCATAGAACAAATTACTTTAATTGTAACGAAATAGG